TAGGGATTGGTGCGCTTGCCGGCGATGAAACCGTCATGTGCGTGTTCAAGGACTGAAAGCCATGATGAGGGCTCAGGGTGCTTCATCCACTGCAAAGGTCATGTCAGTTTTGGTCTTGATTAATACTAGTGATGCGGGTTTAGATACTCACCTGGTTGTGGATATGGTAGGTCCATGCGCCACGGAAAAAGTTCTCAAGGGTGCGGTTGTTTGGTGGAAACTTGTCGGCTTCGAGGACATAGTCGGAAATGACACCAGCCTTGCGGAGCTCAGCTTCCTCGTCGAGAGTAGCTTGGAACGAATCATGATGTCCTGGTTTGTCGCCGTGGCTAGGAGTCTGCGCTTCTGCAGACGCTGGGACGTTGTCCTGATCACGCTTTTCGTCCTTAGTACCGGAACTCAGCTCCTTGCGGTGGGCATCTTTGAGATCAATGCGGTCCAACTGTGGTCCATCGTAGCTCTCCCATTCATCGCGGATTCCGCCAATCTTGCCCTTGAACACAGCGCTGTAATCACGAATACAAGGAACGGTGCATCGGCCCTCACGGTCCCAGTTGAATTCCGTCCAGATGGGATCGAATGCGGCGGTCTCGAACATTTTGAATTCCTGATCACGTCCGTCCTTCCAAGCCATGCGACCAAGGACACGAGGGTGGAAGTTGACACCCATGCGAATACCGCCGTACAGCAGATAAGAAGAAAGCGAAGAGTTTGCGGAAAGAGACATGATAGCCGTGTTGTAGTCGCCTGGGTGGGGGTGAGCAGCCCATCGCTCAGCAAAGGCGTGTTCCTTTGGCAGAAGGAGCGGACGCATATCCCTGAGCATGAGCACATCCATGTCAAAGTAGGCACCGCCGTAGATGTGCAAGACAATGAAGCGGACTGCGTCAGAGACGGCGACGGGGAGGAAAGTCATTTGCTTCTGGGTCAGTACGAGCCATTGCTGGCCTTGCTTGTCTTCAACAATGTTCTCGGCCACGTCCCTTTCGCCCTTTGAATTGGGCAGTCCAGGCTTGCTGTAGTAGTTGAAACCGTTCTTGTTTTCCTTGTCAGTAGCCAGTGGAATGCGGCTAGGGAAGTTCCAGGCCTTGACAACAATGTCACCTCTTTCTACCAGAGGCAAGAATCGGGCAAAGAGGGCGTCCTTGTTGAGCATGTTATAAACAGCCTTGGGGTTGCGGTCGCTGTCAAGCCACAGCCACAGACGAGAGCAAGCCAGGTTCTGGGTGTACAGATAACTCTTAATGAAAACCTCGACTCGCCAGGTAGCCGGGCCGGTCCAGTAGACGTGGTATGGGATGATTGGGCCCGGGCAAGTTCCAATGTTGGTGCCATTGACGGCGACTGCATCCTTTACAGGAGTGTATTTGTCCAAAGTGTTTCCGTGGCCGTCTGCGTTTATGAAGTCTGCCTTGCGGGGATCTGATGCGCTTGCCCGGTCGGCGGCAGCAGGCAGGCTGTAGTAGCGATCCTCTCCCTCGGCAAAGAACTTCAGGCAGTCAAACGGCTTCTTCATCTTCTCGATACCAGCATATGTACCCCTGCACTCTTCAATCAACATGTCGATGTCGGCCTCGGTGTCGACGTGGGGGCGAGGACCCAGGTAGTCGTCCTTGTTCTTGACAGCGGTAATGGGGCGGTTGAAGACATTGGCGTGCGGGTTGATAGTGACGGTCTTGGTGGTGCCGGCAAATTTGACCTTGACGCCGGAGCGGGTGGTCTCGATCAGCTCTGTCGGTCCAGCCTTGTCGAGGAAGGCGGGAATGCCGATTTTGCCCTTTGCCGCGACAGAGGGGTCGCTGACGAAGGCAATGAGGCCGTATATGGCTCCGTAGAGCAGTGCAGCCAGCGCTAGGTTCTTGAGCAGCGTCAAGGTTGCGCGAAGCCTAGATACTTGAGCCATATCGACAGGCCGACAGGCTACGGACCTGTGGGTAGAGTTGGCGGGTGGCTGTGCTGGGCTGCCAATGTAGGTACGGTGCTGGTGCTGCTGGAGCAGGTTGTGAAGGCTGGCGACTTGCAGGCAGCGGTGCAAGTGGTTAAAGGATCGTATAGGCGGTCAGATGGTGGTGTTAAGGAGACGCGGTGGGTGGAGCGGCGAGGAAAGGGTATGCCTGAACCACGGGTGGAGTCGCACAGGCACAGGCACAGGCACAGGGTCCACTCTGCGGGATATTATAGTGCTATCGACGAGTGCGCATGTAGCTAAAGACGCGAGAGGGAAATCGAGGGGCAGCACAGGCGTAGGCGAGGAAGTGATTGCGATGGCGGCGGGCGCGGGCAGGCCGAGGGGGGTGTTTTTTGTTGGAGAAAGCACAATGGGCAAAAGGACGGCGTTGGGTGACGGGCAGTGCAGTTCAGCCAAGCTCGTCTGCCCTCTGCTGTGCTGAGCTCTGGTCGGGGGGGGGAGAGAAGAAAGCGCCCAGCTGAACTGAGTAATTTGGCTGCACGACGCGCGCCACCTTCTGCCCCCCGCCCACGCCTTCCCCTGAACAAGCCCGGCTTGCGACAATCAATCAACGCCCGTGGCCACGCCCGTTTTCTAGCCAACATCGCATATCGCACTCTTCGAATCGCATCTCGCCCGCCGCCCTTGCTTTCTCACGATTTGCGGCCGTCCTGGTTGCCTTTGCCCCCACCCCCAAAGGCCGCCCGCCGCAGTTTGCATGTGTCAGCCATTTGCCAGCCGTTTGCCAGCCAGCCAGCCAGCCAGCCAGCCAGCTGCCTTTCACCAACACCCTCCCTCGCAAAGAAAGACCATCGCCTGACCACTGCCACCTTCGCTTGTGTGCCCACCTTTGATGCCGCTACGCATCTGTCAAAAGGCTGTCTCTGCTCTGCGACCCCCGCGACTACGGCCCGCCAGCTACGCGCGTCTGGGCGCCTCTAAGCCCCGACCGTTCTCAGCAGCATCAGCTCCAGCGCCACACGAGCAAGTCCATGTTCCCTGTCGGTCCAACGGCATCGTGACGGTTGAGTGAGTCTCCTCTCCCGTCTTGTCTTCCCGCAACATGACGTTGTTCACTTGTTGCATCTTGTTTGTCTTGACCATGCATGTCCTCCTTCATGTGCAATGACCTCACACCGGCCTATCATCCCTGGTTGCTCTTCCGCCTTGCCCACGACTCGCACTGGACAATCACTTTTATGTACTGCCCCAATGCCACTTGTTGCACTTTCTCCACATTCCCACTCCACATCAAGCCACTGGAATTCCGCACGAGAATCCCTCATATCGTCATTCGCCTGCAAGACTAACTGACTGACCCTTGCAGCGTTTTCCGTGCCCCAAAGCCTGCTGCCCCCATCTTGATCTATCTCCCTCCGGGTCCTGTACTCCCACAGTCGGAAGAAGATGAACACCGTCTCATCACAACGTTAGCCGCTGCAAGCGCGGCAACAGTTGTCCGCATCAACTACCGCGCTTCATCGGTACATCAGTATCCCACACCATGCCACGATGTATTGGCCGGCTACGACTGGGTGCGCGAGCATCTACTTGTTGATGCATTCAACAGACCTTATCTAGCCCGTCTTGGCGTATGTGGAGAACTCGTCGGGGGCTCTCTAGCTACCATGCTGGCCTTGACCGAGTGCCATGCTGGAGAGAGCCGTATCAGTGCCGCGGCCGTGAATAATCCCCTCGTCGACTGGGTGTTTCCCGACGAGCTCCCTGTCGTGCGCCCGGAGGACCTCCAAGAACCGTTGAATGGTGATGAAACGGCGCTCCCTGCCGACGAGGACCTGGCCGGCTCATTGGCACTGCAGGAAGCCACTCGTAATGTCCTAAAGTCTGAACGCAAGTATCGCAAGCGGCCTTCGTCAAAGACACAGCAGATTTCTTCCTGGCAGGCCCACGGCGACAACACCGTCATACCCACCTTGACTCTGTCGGGAGAGCGTGATGTCCTCTTCAGAAGTCCAGACGACTACTTTGATCGCTTTGCCTCTCCAATCCATTTCTTCCGTTCCCCCCATGCCCAGCTGATCTATCCACAGCCCGACCACATCTTCGCGTCGCAGCAACCCGACGAGATTCTGGACGTGGAGGCTCAGATGGCCCTCCACCACTATTCCACCTTTGACGATACTCCCAAACCTCCACAGCCGCTGCCATATCTGAGCCGGTGTCGTGCCTACGCTCGCAACTATCCCCAGGCTGGCACGCATCTAACCCTCCCCGTCTGGAACATTGCCACTGGCTTGCAAAGTCCACTGTCCGATAGCTCGCTCGAGCTAGCAAAAATGGTACGGAGAAGTATCGCCCGTCAGACAATGAAGACACATACAGGGCGCTCGCGATGGTTCGATGAAGCAGAGAAGAAGCACTACGAAGAATATGCCCATGGCCGCGTCCAGGTAAGCTCGCACTGGGGAATCGGGTTGTGGACTCAGCAGGATGAGAATCTGGGGTGGAAATCACGCATCGAGGAGGTGGGGACTTGGATGAAGCAGCGGCTGGATCCGAGCTTTACATGATGATGATGGTGATAACGCATCTCATGTGTTTTTCTGTTTGAGTAAGAGGGGTGGTTCGTTGAGCCTAAAATTCTAGTTTAGTCATGCAATCCATCATAGTCATCAAATCAAGGGAATTGGGGGGGGGGGAGCTGACAACGCATGTTGATCTCGTATTTGTGTACTTTCTTTGTCCCCTTGACGCTTACCATTACACAGTCGAGAAATCCTCCCCACAAGTCAAGTTGAGAAATCCACACAAGTCAAGGCTCAAACTGCTCGATCCGTTGCCTCGTTGTCACATCTCAGCCACTCTGTCATTCTCTCTTTTTTTTCTCATCCATTTACCCACTGCCCCCCCCCCTCCACTGCGCCAGCCGATTTCTGCCTCTTAGCTATCCGCTTTGCCCTTTTAGCAACAGAAGGCGATGTAACCTTACACACGTGAAAGACATGTGCCCATGTAGATGAGGCGCGCGAAGCTACGACGATGTAACCTTACACGTGCAAGATATGTGCTCAGGTAGACGAGGTGGACGAAGCTACAACATATCTTCGACATCCTCCATCTTCTCGTCGGCAGGCATGCCAGCTCCACTGCTGCCGCCGTACTTGTTCTGAAGATCCCTAAGAATCTTTTGGCCCTGAAGTAAGGCTTTGCGCTGCCCCACCAGATCCATGCGCTGCCCCACCAGATCCATGCGCTGCTTGTAACGATCCGTCGGTTCGGCAAGGAGGCGAATCGCATTTTTATAGCCTATGTGCATAAAATTAGCATTGCCGTACTGAACAGTGAGTCCATGACTGATTTCCCTTACTTTCAGTGTCATTCCGTATGCCCAGGCCCTTCTCCAACTCATTACGCAGCTGCGTACACAGCCCCCTATGGAACTTGGACTCGATACGCATGCAGACAGCGTCATGGAAGCGGCGAGCGGCGAGCAGGTAGTACGTGGTCACCTGTGCGATAACGCCAATCTCGCGGGCATAAGGCTCGTGTGCTAGAATAGGCATCGAGGTCTTCTTGACTCGCTCTTCTTCAGCAGGGGTGAACGGCTTCTTTGTGTGTTGCTCCTTCTTCCGCTTGTACAGAGCAAGTCGATTCCTGAGACGGTGCTGCTGGTAAAACTCGAGCATTACGCTCTTCTCACGTTCGAAGAGATCCTCATGGAAAATGTATGGACCCTGCTTTTCGTCGTTGAGGCTGTCGCGTGCCATGTCGTAGTCAGGCACGATTAGTTTCTGAAGGATCTCCCACGCCTTGTCGTAAAACATGGATCCTTTGCGGCTCTCGAAGTGTTTCTTAAACAATCCTTGAATCTGCTTGTGAAGTTGCGCCTTGTAATTGTCGAAGAAATGGCTGAGTGGCTCCTCCCAGCATCGAATCGCTGTCAACATCATCGCATCAACGACCCGCGGTTCGATCTGGCCAGGAACTTTAGACTGCGAATTCTCTGCCAAATATTCCCGAACCTCGTCAAGATCAAACGTTTTCTTTAGGTGTTTGAAGTCTAAATCTCCCTGGTGGCTCGTACTTGAATCGATCTTTCGCTTCTTCTTTGGAGACTTGTTAGATGCGTCGCTGCTGTCCCTAACGGCGGAGGTATCACCATCTTCATCTTCATCGTCATCAGATAGTGAGATCGGCACCTTCGCCGAGGCACCAGGGAGTGCTGCCTGTACGTCGAAATACACAGATTCGTCGTCAGCTCCACGAAGCTTTATAGTTGGCTTGATGCTTTCTAAGTAAGTAGAAAAGTTCTTCTGCAAAGCCTTCCACTTATTCCGCCATTCTTTATGGGGAAACTCAGCTTCAATCTCTCTGCGTACATCTAGAGAGAAGTCAAGAATAATATCTGATATAATGCGAGAAGCGTTAGCTGTAGCTGGCTCTGGAAATTTCTTAAGTTCTTGCTCTACCCATGAGAGACGTTCAATAATATGCTGCTCAATCATTGGTAGCCGCTTGATCATCTGCTCTGCTAGCGTTTTGGAAAGAAAAGCTTGGAGATTTAGTGTGCCAAAGTATTCTTCGTATGCCTTGAATGTACTAGACCAGGTTGTGTCTTCGCGAAAGAAATGCTCTTCTCGTGTACGTGCCTCTCTGTGGCTGATTCCCTGGTTGATCTCATCTTGGCCGGGATTCTTGACAACGAAATATCCATAGCCTAGAGCGAATCTCTTTTGGTCAAAAACTTCTTTCAGTTTATCGTGGCGTGATCCTGCTGGCAATCGATCGGGTTTAGTAAGAACGCCAATGCATCTATTAACTGCTTTCAATTTCCTTGCTATACCACCAGCACTTGAGTTGGCAATATCAGTCTCTAAAGAGCAGCATAGAAGGATGAGAGCTTCAGGATCGCGCACGTATTCTGTAACCAGCTCACGTACAAACATGACGAGAAATCCCTTATCTTCAGTTTCTGCTTGTCCGATGATGCCAGGCAAGTCGTAGAAACTTAGTGCTGGCAATCCCGGCTGACTGATTGAGATGCAGACGATATTTGGGCTGAACTCGCACTGATGCTCTCCAAGGTGGAGAGATGGACCCAGAAACTCCTGGTAGTCGACCAGCGGACTGATGGTTGCGAGTTGGGCGCGACCAATGATATGCTCCAGCTCCTCTGGTTTATCCGTAGTTGCGAACGGTATGACAATTGGCTGCGTCAGCTCGCACCAACCACGAAACCGTCTCTCGCTTCCTCGACCAGGTTTGCCGTCATAGTTGAAGCTGCGGCGAAGGCTCACGCTTGCGCTCCAACTAGTGCGGGGATCTTCTGAAGGCTCTAGCTTGATAAATAAAGGGCACCGAGTGCATGTGTCGTCAGACCTAGGAGTCTTGATGCCCGATATCGCCTCAATGACGGATGACTTTCCTGCAGACTGCTCACCTGGTCAAATGTCAGTGAAATACCATGTGCTAATGCGTCAGGTAACGTTACCCAAAACAACACATTTTGGCAAGGGGATATCCATTCGCTGTAAACCAAGACTTTCGAGTCGGTTGATTGTCGAAATAACCTCCTTCATGTGCAGTCCCAGCAGATCGACTGTCTCGGAAGAACTAGTTTGTTGATTACCTCCTCGGATTGGTAGATCGGTCGGCTCAATATCCTCGCTAGATGGAGGGCCGTCATCTCGCTTTCCACTTTGTGTACCGGCCGCCATCGTGACAAAGATTCAGAGTGAGAAGCAGACGACAAAGGTAGCGACAAGGTCAGAATGTGGGTTCAGTTGGACTGATAAGAGAGTGAAAGTTTGTGCCAAGACCCTGCGTTTGTTAGGCCGCTCAAGTTGCCGCAAAGTTTGGGCGCGCAGGACGCAAAGAAAAGTGAAGGTGAACGGTGAAAACGAGACAGCAGGGTAGAGGGACATGGCAATCCGGCGAGAGATTGCTTTAGCCATTGCGTAGGCGACGCCCGAGCATGCCATACCAATTTCCATCCTATACTGAATTCACGCATGATTTTGTCATGTAAATGGTGTCCAAGACTGATGATAAGTCAGAGACTGAGGATAGAAGGAAGAATGAGAGGTTGGCACCGGACGTTGTGAGTAAAGGGCAACCCCGAGGTTTCGCCGCTAGCGCCAATCCGGCCAGGGTCCTTGAGAGAAAAACGTCGAAGCACATCGTCACCAGTTGCTATCATCCTACCTCAAGTTTGCCAGCACGTTTTCTACACCCGCCTCTCGGCCCCGCCACCATTCTTGCCGCAGTAATAATACACAATGGATCACTCGCGAGATCCGTGTCCGTGGGTCATTCTCAATGACTTTGGCGGTGCTTTCGCCATGGGTGTATGTCGTGCCAGACGCAGCATGTACCGCGCATATACTAACCGGATATCAGGCAGTAGGAGGAGCAGTATGGCATGGTGTTAAAGGCGTAAGTATCATCATTGGCCCTAGAATGCCGTGCTGACAAAGGATCCAGTTCCGCAATTCACCCTACGGCGAGCGACGCATAGGCGCCATTACAGCGATCAAAGCCCGCGCACCAGTCCTCGGCGGAAATTTTGGTGTCTGGGGAGGTCTCTTTAACACATATGACTGCGCCGTCAAGGGAATCCGGAAGAAGGAGGACCCGTGGAATGCCATCATCGCTGGTTTCTTCACGGGTGGGTCGCTCGCGGTGCGGGGAGGATACAAATCGATGCGCAACGGCGCGATATCGTGTGCCATCCTGTTGGCAGTCATTGAGGGCGTCTCAATTGGTTTCAACCGTATGATGGCAGACAACACAAGGCTTGACGCTCCCCCACCACCACCAAGCGACGCTGGAGCATCACCTGGTAGCGGCGGCATGGCCGTAGCTGCGTAAGGGGTGCCGTTTTATGATTACGTTTTTTCTTGAAGCATGGCTTCATTTGTCGAAAAAAAAGGAGGCAGTATGGCGGGTGGGAGGGCGGTGTTTTTGGGACTTTTTGGCATATACCGCAGTCAGGTTCGGCAGCGGGCGGCGTTCATACTCTCCTCAGCTTTGTGCTATATATCTGTATCATACACGCGACACGATTGTACAACATCTGGAGACATCTCTATGGAAACATGAAGTGTTCAGGAATTCAGAAGACAACAAATGCTTCTTCTCAGCATGCCAGACTATGAATGGCCCATCCAACACTACGCACCGAACTTAGCGTATCAGACCTGAGTGCTAAGCGCGGCCCGATAGTTCCGATGACATCATTGGTTCGCTGCCACATAGCTTCAAGGATGGGAAGCCACAGCGGATATTGCACGTATTAGTATTTTGTTACTTCAGTATCCCATGTCGCTCAAGCTGGAGGCGCCGCACAAGGATGCTGCTGGACTTATTTGGCTAGCCGTTTCTAAATGCTAGCGTCTGCGAGTCAGCCACGCACCTACCGCCTTTCACCTCTACTATTTCAAGTTGGCGCCCCGGGTCTCGTCGTCTGCATCATCACCATGCTATCTATATGCAAAACAATATTGCCCCACGAACTCTCCGGACTGCTTAACATTAAATCCTTGTCTAAAACACATCAGCTCAATCGGCAATACGTATTAAGTTTGCCTCTTCATTGGTGTGACCATGGCACCATCTAAACCATCTAAACCATCAAGTTCTGTCACTTACAATATCCGATCCATCACCAAGAATTGGAAAATCCATCGCGTCCATGAATGTTTGCCTAGAGCACTATGGCCCAACAAGCAGTTTGAGGCGACACAATGGGATATTGGAATTCTTACGCTCCTAAGTCAGATATCCGCCGTACCGAATGCCACCATCCAGGACTTTCGAGCAAAGGCTAGGCGTGCAATCAAGGCGCGACAAGAGCGAAATGGGACAGCAGCTGGGAAGGTGGGGTGGGTAAAAGTAACAGACCTCAAGGCTGTTCTGAAAGAATATGAAAAAGAGATTGCAGAAGCAGACGCGGCAAAAAATGCTCAAGAAGAAGCCGACTCAATAGGCAATATTCAAACAGAATTTGTAGAGTTACCCAAGACACCAATGGCACCTGTTGAAGACTCGGAAGAAGAAGATGAAGAACAAGGCTCTTCTGAGCCTCTTCCTGGCGGAAAATATCAGTATCTCACTCATGTCCGCCCCCTAAAAGTCGACTTGAATCCTTCGGCATCTCCGCCAAAGAAGGCAATTCAACCAAAAGCTACTCGAGGCAAGAAGCGACAAGTGGAAGAAGAAGCACCGCTCGATCCCTCCGCCATAGAGAGACCAAGCGTGGTACAGCAAGATCCCGATCCCCGGGCACCGGACGACACCGGTTTTCTCTCTGACTTGGAGCCTGAGAAGACGAAGCAAAAAGAGCGGAAGAAAAAGAGACTATCTAGGCTTGAACAATATCCTGTCCGTGTACCGCACTGGCAGCGCAATTTAGATTATATTGCAGCCGGTCCTTTACGGCTATCGAATGGTACTGAAGCAGCCAATGGAGCTGTATCTGAGGGTACACTTGTAAATGGAAAAGACGAGGATGAAGATCTCGAGATGAATCTGGATAACCTGCCTAGCATTCCGATTAACGCGACAGTCAAAGAGAGAAGGGAGATGGAGGAGTTGAGGCTTCGAATGGAACAGCGCATATGGAGAATCAAGGTTCTTCGAATAAAGGAAAGGGAAGGCCGCAGTGACGACCTTGTGGGACAGGGCGAAGTTGTAGATGATGGCGTCAGCCAGGGAGAAGAAGGTGATGCAGAAGATGAAAATGATGATTCAGACGAACGTGACGAAATTGAAAATGAAGAAAATGGCACTCCTGGTGAAGGTAGAGTGCTGCGAAGCAGAAAAGCAAAGTAGAAATATAATTCACCGACGCTAAGTACATCGGTATAACAGTGTTCAAAGGTATTGCAATCCTTGGTCATATCAGTGACTTATGTCTCACCAACTTCAAGCTCCATTCATCATGTCATCGAAATTGAGAATTCGACCCGCCAGAGTGCATTGTAATATGTCAAGTATGCCAGCGAGAAGCAAAGAATTCGTGACGTATCGCTTTTGACTTGTAACATCAACTCTCCAGAAGCAAACAATTCACCCGTTGACATTCACACGATCTATTGACCAGTTTACAATGCTCCCACACTTTCACATTTTACTCGCTATTAGCTCACAAAACTGTGCCACATCTGTGTTCATTCACCACAAACATTGTCTCAAAACATTATTCAACCAAAGAATTATCATGACTATTCTTATAAGTGATTCCATATTCTTCTCCGAGAACTCTCCCATTCAAACCGGAACAATTAGCAATCGTATAATAAACGCATCAACGCTACCGACCAGATCCAGAGCTAGGAAGTAAGCCTGCTACAAAAGAAACAGTTACCATGGGTATATCGTTGAAGATCCCTTTTGGCTCTAGGAGACGTCCCAGCAAACCATCCGCTGGACAGAAACCCTCAGGCGAAGGTAGCAGCCGCAAGCAAGCACAAGACCATCGCAGCGGAGGCCCCCCGTCTCCCTACCATATCCGCCAAATTGAACCTAGACCCAAACCGTATATCGTGCAAAGCAGAACGCCCACCTACAACGTTAGGGAAGTACGCCCTTCCACCGCGCCCCAAAAACCCCACGTGACGGTCCAAACCATCACCACCACAACCCCCTCCTCCCACCGCCACCGCCGCCGAAGCAGCGTCTCTATCCGCTCACCCCCGCATACCTCCTACAGCTACGTCGAACCCAACACCCGTAACTCACCCGTTCGTCACTGCCGCCGCTCTTCCCGACCCAAAACCCCGAACTCCCCTGTTAGTCCCCTCGAAACCTCCCGTTTCGAATTTCCCTCCCCCTGGTCACAACCTCAACCAGTTATCCAGCGCGACGAGTACGGGTTTAGCATCCGGACGCCGTCGACGCCGGTGGGGCAGGGGAATGCGTATGGGATGAGTGCTTTGGCGCCGGTGAACTCGGGTGAGTTTAGTTATTTTGAGCCGTGGGCGGGGGGTCAGGGGATGGAAGGAAGTGGGGAGGAGAAGGGGGGGAGTGGGTGGACGGAGGAGGATTTGATGGGGTATTATAGTTATGGGGTGGGGAGTGTGGGGACGGCGGGGGGAGGGATTGCGCAGAGTGGGAGGAGTAGACAGCACGGGAGGGGTGAGCAGTCTGGGAGGGAGACGAGGGGGGAGGGGAGTAGGGTTAGGTTTGCTTAGTGAATGGGGTATTGAAATATCAATCTACGGTATAGGACTGGATATATATGGTAAGTAGGTGGGTTTTCTTGCTCCAATTGGTATCATTTATAAGGCCTGTTGTCAGAAATCGTTTTGTGGAAGAGAGAAATAGATACAATGTTGTTGAATTTTTTGCTTTCTTTGTGACATGTTCTTCTATAATTCTATGCGATGGTATGCAATCGTTATGTCCTTGGGTCTGAATTGTTTTAACGTCGAAGATTCAACGTGCGAAGAAAGCACATGGTGTCTTCTCTTCTCCCAATGAGGGAAAAAAGTTTACTCAAATCACTCTGTTAGACTCTTCATCAATTTCTTGTCCTTTTCGAATTTTCCTTCTTCTTCCCTCTGCGTCCCATCGTTTGTGATAGTTCCTTGAGTGTCAAAATCTCTGTATCTCTCTTGATCGTCCTCGGTGACGAGGTCATTCGGCAGATTGATAGCACGATCGAGTCCGTAAGGTAGACCCCTGTGCCTTCCACGCAACATCATAGCGCAAATGACCAGTTTGCCAAATACGCTGAATTGACCGGATAGCGAAGCAAGGTTTGTAGGGTATCCTAAAGAAAGCCCAACGTTCCCGTACGCTGAGACGACTTCGAAAAATATCGAGAAAACCGAAAATGCCTATTTGTGCGCACGTTGAGTTAGCGTCTTCCTTATTGCCACGTGAGGGGGAGGAGAGACCTACCCAATCCTCATGGCTCATGATTCTCTTGCTTTCAGAACAGCAAATACAAAAAACGCCCATGAAAATATACCACAGGTCGAAACTCAATTGGTTGCGCAGATGATTGAGCAGATACGTCTTACTGTCGGTATTATCATCGGGGCTCTCGTCCGCTGCGTAGAGTCCCACCGACTTGTCCTCGTAACTTTCACTCATACGGATACTAATCGCAATGGGGTAAACGGAAATATACATCATGACCAGTAGACTAAATTGTACGCCCGGGTTAACATTAGCGAGATTAAATGTCGCGGTGCCCGTGTGGCGCGACGACGCGGATTGAAACAAGGCAGCGAGAATCCTGGGGCCGGCGGGGAGGACGTTGACTTCGGTGTTATCCAAGTCGAGGGTGACAATAAGAAGGGTATCGACAAAGTTCAAAAATACGAGAATAGTGGCGAGGATCCAGGTCGCAGTGCTGGAAAACAGCAGCGTGTAACATCGGCGCGGATGGTCAAGCAGGAACCTCGAAGACTCTTTGGTTGAGGAATCGTTCGGGGCGATCTTCCACATGATCCAGATGACAAGGCGGAGGAAGCATGGATAAAATGTGTTGCCTGCGAACGCGAGAAAAGACATGACAAGCATGGGCCATGTTGCGTCGCGGAAAGAGATCATGCTGTCTGGGGTAAGGGTGAGACCCAAATTGTTGATCATGGTTTGCGCTGAGTAGATGGCCCTATCAAGTGTTATTATGCAATGCCGTATCATCGTGAATGTAGCGACTACATACCACCATGTCTTGTCCACACCCTGCGAGGCGAGGTATTCCTTGTACTTCAAAGGAGCGAGATGGATCCAGGGTATCAAACAGATAGCACCAAACAAATGCAGACCGAAGAAGTATCCTAGTATCTTTAGTAAAAATAAAACTTTTCACCGTCTTCCCAGCCATGTACATACCAACGACAACCCGGAGGAGAACGCGCAAAGCGCGGTATTCGACACCACCCAACTCTTCTGGACTCAGAGAAGCCAAGTCGATTGATGGCTGCCTCGATTTCTCCTCGCTACGGCGAACACTAGGCGTGGTTCCAAGGACGAATATGGATGAGACAGCGCGGTCTATCGACGTTGCTTTGCTTATACTTCTTGTCTCAGATAGCCTGCGGCGTAACCGGTTGTTGAACTCTCCAACAGGCTTGATCTGGTCATCGTCTTCATCTGTAATTTTAATGTCAACAACAGACCATTACCATGAGGGTGTATAGGCACCTACCATCGGACATTGGAACTGAAGGCTGGGCTATGTCTTTGTTAGTTATGCGATCACAATAGTTTAGTGTAGTCTACGTACCACTCTCTCCTTCACGCGGTCCTGCGATATGCAATGTGCCTTCCTCATTGACAGTGTAGCGAGGATCAGGAGCAAACGTAATACGAGCAGTATTCGGGGTTTCATCTTTCTGCTGGTTGCCAGAGGCTTCAGGCTTCGTTTTGGAGACAGTGTCAACTGGGGTCCCTCTCTCGAGGTCCCTCTTTTCAGAGAAATCAGCAAGGACCTGAATCCGCGGATCAACGGAATGTCTAGAGCTCTTTGGTCTCTCATGTGCAGCGGCTATGTGTATCTTAGTTTTGATCCGAGAAAGAATGATGCTGATCCAACTCACGAATTCCTTTGAGCTTTTGTTGGAACCATCGTAGCCTTACGATAACAACGACGATGTTGATAAAGCCCAGGTTAGTGATGATAGGTGTGATATAGAACCAGACCTGCTGATACGTCTTGAGCGCTTTGACGTCAAAACTGAATTAGTGTTAGCCTATAATGCTTCGCTAGTGTGTGTGTGTCTATGCACGTATATGGGAACTCACGGATTCAGGCCCGAAGAAGTCGACGCACTAACTCCAAAGTAATACGCATCTATGGCTCGCATATTCCCGTAAGGATACACTATGATCATGGCCAGAATGCCGAAACTCAAAATGTACGCATCTGTAACGTGTTAGTGCGTGGGGTCTTTGGATCCGGCCAGATGGGACGGTCGATACGGCAGGTTGCAGTAGGCAAACTTACAGTGTAGCGTGATGAAGTTGATTGGAGGCTTCCACATGGTAGATGATCGGCCGCACATTCGGAAGTGGCAGTATACAGGGCAGCAGTTGAGGGAATTTTGATGTAGCACGGCAGCAGCAGAACTAGTGCCGGCAGTAACACCAAGACAGACAAAATGCCTCGTATAAGCTTCGGGACAGCCCGTGTGATAGGAAACCCCGGCTCGAAATAAGAAATGTCGCTTTGGAGACTGCGTATGAACGAACGTAGAATGGGAGGGGAGACAAAGGAAGACACTCAAGCGGGGAGGGATATATAGTCGGAGCTTCCAAACAGGCGATAAGACCCGACTGCAGTCCCACTACTGATCACAAAAGCACGGCTATATTCTTCCATGAGGAATTTATTCACGTAAACCAACAAACATTAAACTGGCTCTCCGCCCCCAGAAGGCTTGGCCAAAGTCATCGACGGACCTTGTTTCTTCCCTGCCAACAGCCTCGCTCGCCGCCCGCAGAGGAGGACCAATCGTGAAGAGCAAAGTGCGGGAGTTAATTCGCGCATCTCAGCTGGTCATGTCGCTAGCAGCAACTCAACCGCCCATGCTTACACACGGAAAGTACAATTAGGGCTGTGGACTAGCACGATCTCGTCCCAGGGCCCGTTGGCGGGCCTGCCGATTGGAGAGTGGTTTGCTGGGAGTAGCCAGCGGGGTAGTCATGCATCCCACATGTTGAGGTCGTGGAGCTTTCTGGAGTACCACAGTCATGGTGTTGCGCGTAGCCCGCATTATGGCTCGCTGTATTTATACATCGGTAAACATATCAAGGCAATGAGAGGATTCATTGAACGCTTATGATTGGATTCCCTGCTTTGTCGAATCCATCGATCTTAATGTAATTCGTGCCAAGACTGAGATGCAGCACCTCCCCATCTCCGTCCCCTGTCCACCCCGACTGTGTTCGTCTTTGTGAAATTGTTAAAACGGGAAGAAAAAATTGGACAAACATCTGCCAAGAGAGGCATTGACAGCGTCTACTACGAAGCGGGCTCTGGTCGTATCAGCATTATTAGACAAGGATCGTCGCACTTGGTTGCACTGCCTCGCGGCGACTAGTAATAGTGCATACAAGAAGCGCCGCAGAAGCTTCGAGCCGTGTGAGACATTTTTCTACTCTCCACATTCCCAAAAAGAAACTCACTCGCTATGCTATACGTGGTTTTCTCGCACCGGAGATTTGCCGTGTCTACATACTACAGCAATTTTATGGAATCAAGCATCTTTGCCGTGAGACTTGATAGCTCGTAACTTGATTCTGCGCACTAGCTAGAGCATGTCGTGCATCCACATGGCAGAGCGGTGGCTTTTCTGGTTTGAAAACGGGATACTCGAAAAAGCCTAGACGTTTTACTTGTTCTAACCTCTTCAACCCCCACTTCCGGTCTTCACTTGTCGACTGGCCCACTATGCAAGGTCCCAAAGAATACCGCTATGATGACGAACCGGACGGCCAACGCCACACCCGCAAACCCAATCGCAGTTTCGGCAACCAGACCCTGAAATCTCTTATCTCGGTCAGGCATCGAATATGCGTCGCTTGGCAGCTTTCCATCGTTGCTTATAGCAGAACTGCCCACAAGAAGTAGAACACCAACTAGTCCAAGCACATTTAGCACTAGTCAGCAACTGCGTGGAAATTATTTGGCCCTGCATATTACAGGGTAACTATTCTTATTTGCACTGAAATCAAGAAAATGCTCCAAATATCAAGCGACTAGGTATTGGCCTGAAACTGTGTGTAGGCATTTGATATCTGCTGCCTTCTAACAACTACAGTACCTCTCACTAGAAAATAACAGAAAACCATACTGCTTCTGCATGTTCTCTGGGCAAGGGTAGCCAAACATCGCTATCGCTGCCATTTGGCATACTCTGTGAAAACAAGACTCGAATATTTTGGCATACGACATGGCCCTTGACAATGGGTTGTAAACCCCTATAGTGAATAGTACAGAAACGCCACTAACACGCCCACAAAGCAAGAACAGTAACGATAATGTAATCTTGTGATTGTAAAAAGGCCAAAGTCAATTACCTCAAGCTAAGCTCAATCGCATTGCACATTGATTACAAAGCGCATATGCAGTAAGTAGTCCCTGCCCCTCCCTCTCCCCACCTTGCAGTCGAGCCACACTTTTTTTTTCCGATTCTGGCCTCCGAATCCACTCGAACGGTCACGATGCCTACGTTCAAAGCCAACGACGGCATTGCAATCCAGTACGAAACGTACGGATCTAGCAGAAACACGCCTCTGATCTTGGTGAGCACGCCCTGCCACCAGACTGCAACTTTGCTTGTCCACCTGACCGCGTCTGGATAGCTCCACGGCTTCACAGGCTCCGGCGCAGTCTTCAAGCGCAACATCGCTGCCCTCTCACAACACCACTATGTAATCATCCCCGATCTCCGCGGCCATGGCAACTCCTCCAAACCAAAAGCCGGATACCACGTCTCGCGCCTGGCCCTAGATCTCAAAAACCTACTCGACCACTTCAACCTCGGTGACGAAAAAGTGAAAGCCATTGGCACCAGTCTCGGCGCAGCTATCCTCTGGTCTTATAGTGAACTCTTCACCACCTCCCCTTTCTCCCACATGATCTTCGTAGACCAAGCCCCACTGCAGAATTACCTCGAGGACTGGGGTCCGGCATTTGGGAATCGCGGGTGTAATTCTCCTGAAGCCCTTGAGGTAATCCAGAAAACGCTGATTGAGGAACCGGAAAAGGCGCATGTGGGGACGATTGCCGCGTGTCTGGGGTATAGGTCGCATCCGCAGTCTGGGGATCCGACGCAAGAGTCGGCAGTTTGGAAGGAGGATGAAGCGTTCTTTTTGGGAGAGGCGATGAAGGGGGAGGGGTGGTGGTATGGGAAGTTGATGGCGGATCATACGGCAAATGATTGGAGGTATTCGATTGCGCAGAATTTTGGGCCGGGGAGTAAGAGTACGACGCGTGTGTTGGTGGTTGCGAGTAGTAGGAGTGGGTGTTTCCCTGCTGATGGTCCTTTGAAGGTTGTTGAGTTTGTGAATGGAGGGAAAGATGAGGGGAGTGCCAAGGGAGTGACGGTAGAATGGGGTGGTCATTGGTGTTATTGGGAGAAGCCTGAGCTGTTTAATGAGCTTGTGCTTGGGTTTTTGCAGTAGGGATATCACATACCGATATCAGCTACAAAACATGATTGACAGGATTGTATTCCATAGGCAAGGAATACATTGGCGACGAATATTGAGTCTATTCTGTTACCACTGGGTCCAATACTCACGGCCGTTTACTTAGCAAAACCCACACAACAATAGCCATTATTGGATAACAACGACAATCGCAGAAAGTACTAATCTAATGATACCATCCGCTATTCGCAGCCAATACAGCAAAGACCCTACTCAACCTTCCCTACCACCTCATTCCATTTACTGCCCCTTCAACCACTCCCCCACCCTCTTCGCCATATTATGCGCCTCCTCCTTAAACCCCAGTATACCCCCCGACAACAGAATATCATGCGGCACATTCTCCTCCACATCCAGCACAACCTCATTCCCCGCCTCCTGCATTTTCTTGGCCCACTCGACCCCATCAAAATACAAAATCTCGCTGCCCCCAACATTCACCCACATAGGCACTTTCGTCGTGAACATATTGTACTTATGCGAGATATACGGTGACGACAGCACTTTCTCGCCTGCTGGACCCGCATACGCATTCGCACCCCATTTTGTGAGAGGCGGGGATAGGTAATCGGTCTTGTAGTTCCTGTTGTTGTGGACGTAGGAGCAGGATGTGTCTGAGGGGTCGATCCAGGGAGACCAGAGAAGCGCGGCAGAGGGAATGGGGAGACCGAGTTCAGCGCCGTATTCGGTTATGTAGCGGAGGAGGGCGATGGTGAGGTTGCCGCCTGCGGAGTCGCCGGAGACAATGATGTTATTTGCTGGGATCTTGAGATCGTTGAGGAGATAGAGATACGAGGTTAGGACGTCTTGGAGGGCGGCTGGGAAGGGGTTTGATGTCGGTGAGGCAGGGAGGGTGGAGAGTCGGTATTGTGGGCAGAAAACGTGGGTTGCTGGCGTGTGTTTGAGTAGCAGTTTTGCCATGAAGCCGCTTGCCTGGGTTCTTCCATCGCCATGGACGAATGCGCCTCCATGGGTGTGCAGGATGACTTTTGTTCTGGTCTTATCGCTACCAGCTGTCAATGGCGCTGGATACCAGGTTGCGCCGATCTCTATGGGTACTACATCTTTGTTGCTCCTTAGCGGTCCTTTATAAACATCAGACTTGGCCGGCTTGACAAGAATGAATCGCTCTTTTTCGGCGCCCGGCGTCAGGGGAATTGGCGTTCCAACTTGCAGTTCTGCGATGTGCCAGAGGACCGAGGAGAAGATGCGCATGCTGATGGCCTGGCGGAAAGTCCATTTAGGGTGCTGGCGAGTGAATCCAAAAAGAAACGTAACAAGATACACTGGAAGACGGAAAATCTCGAAGCCAATGGCGCAGATTGCGTATACGCCCTTAAGGGGCTGTTGAGTGAAGTCTACCATGGCGGATCGCTGTGGCTGGTTGCACTCCTGGATACTAGAAATTATTTCAAGCCGACGTTGCAGGTACTCTACTGCGCATTCACACGGCGACACAGAACAGAGAAGTGCAGTCCAAGAGCCTACCGGAGAAAGTTGTAGGGACCACAGCCCGTTCGTTGTGAATATCTGTGTTGAGGGGCCAGGGCTAGTGCGGGGGACGTAGTGATCCCCTTATATGTCCGTGCATGTACCGCGGTACTTTATCACATGATTAGCCATTACAATGTCGTGCCGTAACATGATTACAGCATGGATAGAAACATCTTCAATTTGTTATTGCTTCTAGCCAATTTGTGGGGTTTATTTATGGATTAGTCTTCAATCAGGGTAATATCACGGTAGCTGTTCAAATAGATAAGACCGAGTCGATCTTCATCCAGGCACACACCGCCTCAGCGCAGATGGTTGTGCATTGCCGCAGTCGTTAATCTGTCAATCAACTCTCGAATTGTTTGAGATGAATCGACTTGGAAAATAGCTCGTAGTACGTGTTCAGGAGAAGCAAATGATTGACCTTGTAGCAGCTTTGGCTGCATACCACGATCTGCCCTTGTGGTGTTTCGCGCAAGAGGAATTACGACGTGATTGTAAGCCGCAATGATTTCAAGATGGCGGAAATCTTTCTATTTTGATATCTGGTGGGACTTACAGGGCTGCAAGTAGAACATTCACTTTGTATCGCTGCGAGGTGGCAGCGGCTGGTTGATGTGGCTGACGAGCGACGGCTGCTGATTGGTGTCGCTTGCCCCCCCTGTCGAGCGACGGTTGTCGATAGGTAGCACTCGCACCGCCGCCCGGCTCGTCCATCTTCCGACTCCGCCCCACATGCCCAGCGACGGATGTCGATTGGTGTCGCTCCCCCCACTCAGCCAGCCACAAGATCTAGCCACAGTCGGAATGTGGGGCCAGCGACACCAATCGATATTCGTCGCTCGTCCCCCTGTCGCTCGACAGGGGGCAAGCCACACTTATCGACTGTCGCTGGCCAGCCACAGTCACGCACACTCCAGGGAGCAGCATGAGCACGGCATGAGCCTTTTCACACGTCATAACACTCAGCGGCCGTAATTTCAAGCACCCGTCGATAGTATTCGGACAGCGTAGACACCATTGGCTATGCCAGACGCCCTGATGAACTGGGAGAATGTAGGTCCTTCGATGATGCCATGCGACCTTGACCACGCAGCAGGTATCTCAACACCGACACAGCATCATCCCAGCTAGCCAAAGAGAATGCAAGGATACTCGACTACTGCGATCCCGAAAGTTCAGTTATTACTACCCATTCAGGTCATCTAACGCATCACACAAAACTCGGATTTCATCCCGAAACAGAAGAGTTTAGCGCGCGATCACGGTGCTCAGTAGCATCAATATAAAAGCGCGTACGTCGCACTATTATTGACAAGGTCTTCATCTTCGTGTATCCCTAATCCCTAGAGAGCCAACCTCTAAGCTCTATGCTATGACACACCCTCTACTAACATGAATACACAGTCCCCACGTACGTACATACATGCAACCCCCCCCCCCCCCCCAAAAAAAAACGCCCCTTCATCACAAACCCCCAACCTAACTCCTCTACAACTTGGCCGGCAACTTCCCATTCTTTTGTGCGGTATACGTAGCAATCAGGTCCATCAACTGCGGACTAAGCACATCATACGACTGCAACCCTACGCTCCTAAACTTCTCCCTCACAGCATCCATCTGCGCTGGATTGAAGCCTTGCTCAATGATACTGCTTACAAAGGCCGCAAACTGCGGTTCCTGCCAGCCGCTCGTGTTGCTGAGCTCCGTGTGCACAAAGTCGAGGCCCTTGAAGGGGTGGTCATTTACGATGCGGCCGAAGAGGTGGACGCCGCACTCCTTGCACGCATTACGCTGGATGGCGGCTGATTCGTCGATAATGTGCAGTTTGTGGCCGTTGGCGGTGACGGAGACATTGTCTTTAGGGAGCACGCCGACGACGGAGAAGAGGGCGCCGCGTGGCTTCCAGCATTTCGAGCACCCGCAGGCGTGGTTGTGTGCGACGTTGCTTGAGAGGGTGACTTCGACTTTGTCGGAGGGACAGTGGCAGTAGAGTTTGCCGCCAGGGAAGTTGGGGTTGCCCTTTTTGATGCCGTTGTCTATTGCTGGGTGGATACTGATACTGGCCATCTTGATTTATCTTGTTCTTTGAGCAAAAAAAACAAAGGATTCAAAAAGAAGAGGTTTTGATATCGAGGTAAGAGATAAAATATTTTGGATTTTGCGATTGACTTTGTTGTTTAGCAATAGACGGTTTTGTAAAGAGAAGAAAAAAAAGATAAGATGTACCCTCTCCCGGAACTATATAGCAGCCTTCCCCATTTTTTTCGACCTCCAGACTGCACAGTACGCCCCTCATCGGACTATCAGGCCATTTTCGAACTGAATTACGATGAGAATGGCGCAATTGTCTGGCTTCTTGACTTTATTGTGGACTGTTTGTATGCGGAACCGCATAAGGTTTCCACTTTAGGTCACTCGGACCTTCCCCGCTTCATTGCACGAACCACACTTTTCAATTACAATCAGCCTTGGCCTCTGCAATCGATTCGCCACAGAAGATACGAGACTCGCGATACAATTTTCCCTTTAATACTCATGTCGCTGTCGCAATGCCCCGTACCAGCGAAGAATCTTGGAGCTTGAAAAGTCGAGTTGCGCTGCGATGCGATTGTGCTTTGATGGTGGCGGGGATGTACCGGTACGTAGGTGTACGTACCCGGCCGAATCGGGCATTTTTTCAATCTTGATCGCAAGCATACCCCAAATGTACCCCAAGAATCTCGCTATCCTTTTCATCCAGAACGAGCCCAGATGATGCCCCCCCCCCCCCCAAGAGACTTTCTGCCACGTGCGGATCCGAAGGAAAATGGCTTCATTATGCACGTCAGCGCGCAGCCAAGATTGCTAACTCGAGATATATTGGACCTGGAGACTTGTTCCGCGAAGCAGGGGGGGCACTAATGCCTTTTTGCTGAATAACAGAATTCATCGCAGATCCGCATTCTGCGTCATGTATGTCCTAGGGTGAATTTCCCCTGATTTCATCCTGATTAGTGAACTGGGCCGATCATCAGCATTCAGTGTCCTCGTCAGAACACATCCAGCATACTCACGAAGAAGCCAGCTAGCATCAATCAAGTAAAACAGTAAAAAAATAAATAAGCTTTTTATATCCCAAATACTTCTACATCAGCTCTCTACCTCCTATTCCTTACCCCCTTTCTGCTTTTCCCCACGTACCACCCTCTCTCTCCGCCACCTCCACACCAACCCATTGTACCTTGCCAACAACGCCCTCTGCACCGCCTCCTCGTACTTCTCCCGAATCTCACACAACGCTATCTCTTTATCTATCACCGAAATGATGTCCTCCATCTTTCCTCCTTGCACATGCTCAACCGCAGGATTCCGTGCAAGGTCCCCGTGGACGGACTCGCGGGTGGCGGGCATGCCTGGTGTGATTGGAGGGCCAAAGGGGTATTTTTGGTGTGCTTCTTGCTTTGGGGATAAAGAGCAGCGGGGGAGTGTGGGTGGAGGGGGTGTCCAGACTGTGCGTTGACCGCATTCGAATTGTGAAGAGGGGAGAGGGCGTGGTGGGTGCGAATGGGAGGGTGGAGGTGATAGCGGTGATACTAAGGGCTGTGTGGTGTTGATGTTATCCCGGGGTGTATGGGATTCCGGCTGTGGAGTTCGGGTTCGTTGGAGTTGAGCTGCTGGTAGTAGAGTACAGCCACTTCTTTGAAGAAAAGGGTTGTTTCTTTCGGTCATGACGTCGGCTGGGATATCGGATAGGATATCGCGTGCTGGCTTTTCCCATCTATCAGGCGGTGTCTGGTGCCGTATCGTCGCTTTGAGAGTCAAGCTTTCGTATGTTGTGGTTGTCCCAAAGAGACTTTCTGTGATGGCTCTGCTGACCTGGGTACGATGCTCTTGGGACCCGAAGAAATTCGGACAAGATGCATCGTTGACGGCGGTGAATGAAAGGGATGTAGGTATCATGTCTCGTGCGGGACGTCTGATGTGTCGCTGCTCCGCTTCACGGCAGTTAAAGTTTGGTCAAGTTAGCTGCAGCAGATATCCGAACCAGGTGTGATGAGTGAATTAATTGTACAGTAGCATATTAGGACATCCGATGCGTGATCGGGGTAGAGTTCCCTCCACAACTCCCAATCAAACAAAGAAAGATTCGAGTTGTTTGTTATCAACAAAGACATGACTTTTGTGATAAAGAGCTCATTATCGCCTCCGCCAATGACAAAAGGACAAAGTTCTATAAAATGATTGGATTTCCATGTATTCCCTTTGTGGTGCACGGGTGTCTGTCTCGGTTTCTGAAGCGGTTTCCCACGCCTTGGAGTGAAGATGGTAATACTCGGCTTACAAGCGTTCCATGGTTGACGCAAGTCCTTGAATTTGGCCTGCCCACCTGCCCAGCATCATCTGGCCTTGCATTTTCAGTTCCAGTATCGGAGCGCAGTAAACCACGATCACAACAGGACCGATGGTGCGTAAAAGATCGAACCCAGGCGTCTTTGCTCGTTCAATCTCGGCTGCAGTCTGCAGTATGGCTTGGGAATAACTCTGTACTTCTGAGTAAGAGTTTCCTATGTCATACTCGGACGGTGCCAATGGAGTACTGGATTCGGTATGCATCTTGTACATGAGCATGTTGAGCAAGACTCGATCTGCCATGTATTTTGAACTTATTAGTGCCCTGGCGGGGTGCGTCTTTCCTGTTTTTGGAGATTTCTGTTTGGGAGATTGCGAGGAAAGCTCCGGGGTTTGGGTATTTCCAGGAATTGTGTATCGTTTCGTCAGATGAGGATACTTTTCGGCCCAGCTATCAAGATCTTTGAGCAATTTCCATGTAAGTTCCTTAGCAGGTGTTACATCGACATTAGGTGGTATGGGTGTCTCGAAAACGGTACGCAAAGATCCTTGGATCTCTAGATGAGCCAAACAGAAAGGTATCATCAGGTGGATACTGGCGAGATCTTGGTGTGGGTCGCTGGGCATATCGACGAATGGTATTGTCATCCAATCTGGGGAGGAAAACGTCGACTTGTTGTTGAAAACGATTGATCTGTGAGCCTAGGAGCCGTCAGCGTGGAACCATTGAGAGTGTAGAATGTCGCAGACATACCTCTTCGCCGCGGATGGCTTTGAAGAGTGGCAAAATTACGCCAGATCTACAGTTGCTTGGGCCTCGCATCTTCATAATCTCTCCAGCTGCATCCATGTGGGCGAGTAAGCCAGCAGACGTTGCTCCAACATAGAGCTCATATAGCGCGAGAATGAGGGGCACCAAAACTTCTCCTTCATCGGGGATATCGTTCTTTTTCATTCTAGCTATCGAGTTTCGCTGCGCACTCAATGCAACAGTGTACCATCTCCAGGAGTCGATGAGTATACTTGAGTCATTATGGTACTTGCCGTAAAATGCCATAGACATTGCTCGAAGTGATATTTTGACAGCAGGCTTGGAGGCGTTAGTAAATATTTCTGGCAAGTGAACAAGCCACTGGATTTCAGGCGCATAAGCGTTTTTAGCATGGTTGAGCTCTACATAATGGGTTAGGAAGGCATTGTCCAACATTGATGACAAGGCTTTCGAAGGTTGGTTGAAGGTAGGAGGTCTGTAGTGGTAGCGGATGGCTGTCGTGGCCTTCTCCACCTGTTCGGCATGTCGACTGTTGGTAGGAAACATTGGGTTCTGAAGAGGCATGTCTAGCGGGGCAGCAGGCTCTTTTGATGCGATAGATACCGCATGATGCGAAGCCTTCGCGGCAGGGGTCTCGCTAGTTGACGTTGATGCTGATGCCCTCACTGTTTCTTTCTTCTTTCGTCCTTTTGGTTTCACTACACGCTCTGTCATGTCAATGACAATAGAGCCTTGCAGTGGCCCCGAGCATTTGATTCCCAGACGGCGGCACTGGTTGCATATCTCTGGCGTCTCATCACACTTCAAATAAAAAGGTCAATGGTTGCACTGCATGAGTGACACATGGTAAACGAACCTTGACGCGTCTGGTGCGGCATTGGGAACAAGCGCGACTGCGCTGAGATTTAGGGGGCATCGGACCTGTGTGTACAACGACAATACAAATCAGGGGAACAAGAAGTATTCTAGCGGTGTAGTTGGTGCAGCGCTGTAGGAACGTAGGAGTATTTGAGGCCGAAGTATTGCTTGGTGTTGGTATTGATCATCGTCAGGGATTGTTCGACGAGAAACGCATCTCTTCTGTGAAGGGTTAGGTTGCTCCCCAGACAGGCCGAACTGCAATACAGATAGATCTTGCGGCATAGACCTCATGATATTATCTTAGTCATGCATACGACCACACAATCACGGCATCGTGATCCCGCACTTTCCGTCAATCTGCATCTCGGGTGGAAAGCGGAAAAAGGTGCGCATGGCCAACGGTGTGAACAAAGCCAGCCCCTTACATGCAGGGCCTGATGGATCTAGTTGATTGCTGAAACAGACTACGCCACCATAATATTGACACCTAAAAGCGAAGAGCATGCATCTGACAGCGCCGCGTCGTTTCATAGCAGTGGAGGCCTGGGGAACACTTGTTGAATTCAACGGCTGTATGCACCCATTACTTCTTGTCCTCTTAACATTCGAAAACCTTGTCGTATTCCTCGATACAGGGTGGCACGTTTCCCGTCGTGATGACGAAGCTAGCCACCAATCGCTTGCAAATGCCCCAATCATCATGTGTGTATGTATGTATGCCAGACATACATGATCTCTGCCAGTCAACAGATCTATATTTCCCCCTTCTCTCCCTTCTTTTTGCCTTCCTGCTGCAACTCTTTCATGTGTGCTTCATGGTTGTCGACTTGCTGCCGGTCAGCGGCGATATTGCTTTCGCCAGAGCTGGCTAGATCCTCGCGCCATCGCCCCTGTCCCTGTTGCTGTTCCTTGAGCTGGTCCTGCTTGGCTTGCTCGATCTGGTCTGCGCTTCGGTTGGCATCTTCCTTAATGCCCATGCGTTGTGTAATTGCAAAGGTACGACGCGTCGATAGGGTCATGGGTGTGCGGAGAGAACGCGTTGCGCTAAGAATAGTGCGGGGTGCCATTGTCGGTGCTTTGAGGCTTGGAAAGGAAATTGATGAGTGGGGATGCTTGAGAGGAAAAGACGACGAATACAGTGACAATTTTTATGAAAAGAAATTGCTCGATGAGACAGAGGATGTTATGGCTGTGGAGTCTTTAACAACCGTCATGGGCTGTGACGTCATTCGCTGCAGTGAGACCTGTTGCGCGGACATTCACGCTCCACTGCAAATCTCGGCACTATACACGACGTCAGGCAGGATTGAAGTGGAGCTGATTTGTGGACAGCCTTGCAACAGGTGGATGAGGGCACCACAAGAGAATACATCCTGATTAAACGTTGAGATTGTACGTGCTGTGCGCCAGCTCCCCCAAGATTATATGTACACCATTTCTTGCAAAACGTAAAAGTAGCTCAATCAATCGTCACTGTGACGCACCCCAAATGCTCTATGGATCATCCGTATCTCCCATACGCCTCCTCAGCTCATAGATGATCTCCCGTTGTGTGTCTGCCTTATCACCGAGAAACCACTACGCGCTGCATGCTCATCCCGAGCTGTTCTTTGGTGCACTGCCTGCACCGCTGCTCTTCTTGCTCGGCGCCCCTCCGTGTCCTCCAACAGTGGGACTGTTAGGCTCACTAATATCCTTGTTGCCAGGGCTGACGTTCAAGCTGTTCTGCTTCCCACCAGCTTCGCGCTCAGCATCTGCCTCTTCTGCTTCTGGAGATGTCTTTGAGGGATCGAAAGCTGCGTCTGTGTGTGCTGCGCCATCATCAGAGCCAGATTTGGCATACTCGGTTGATCGTGGCTTGAGCGAGTCTTTGTCTTGTGCGTCCTTTTGCGCAAATCGTGCCGGGCTCGTTGACAGGAAGCGGGGACGAACGACTTGAGGGCGAGTGAAGACTGCGCGTTGAACTGCGCGTGCGGGCTGGATGCGGAACATCTTGAGGATTGAGTTGTGTTTCTAGATGCTGTATCTGCGTGGGTATACTGTGGGAAAGACTTCCAAAGTTCTTGAGGGTATCAATTGAGTGATTGAAAGGTGTTTTGAAACCAAATATTGTTGGCATGCAGTTTGGTTGAAGTGACGAGTGGATGCGTGTGAAGCTTCGCACGACGATGGCGTGACGTCATTTGCCGAAGTCCGACCGAAGTGACTGCTCACGTGACTAGGCCATACAAGTAGATGATTATAGGAATCTGACCTTCATATGTCTGGACTAAACAGGCTCTTCTAAGCGTCAGAATACATATCTACTAAAGATGCATTTGACAAGAAAATACCAAAGCCCAATTTTGACATGGAAAGGCTGACCTTTTTGTGACAGACTACCCGAACTAGGTAACTTACCCTATCGTAACATTGAAGGGATGGGATGTGAAAGACAGGTGCGACATAAACAGTACCGCACGGAACCAAAGTGTTCCGCCGTGCTAATTCAGGAACACAATGACCTTGTATTCCACCGGCTCGCTGTTTCTAATCTGCCGTCCTTCCAAAGGCGGAATGGTCTCATGTCCCACTACAGGAACAACATTTCTCGCCCCAGGCAGCAGAGGTTAGGCAATATCACATGACCAGTTAAATCTGTCGCATCTTTATTTCCAGGTGTATTTCTTCATGCGATTGAGGTAATGGTGGAAGGTTCAGCATAAACAAATCATTGAGGCTTCCACTGCCCTCAACGCGATCCTTTCCAATTTAGCTGCATCTCGTCGCCACACAACAACCGCAATGGCACTTTTTACATGGACTCCACCTCCCCCTCCAGATCCAGACACACTAAAGAATCCTCCTCAATTCACTACCTTCCCGCTAGTTCAGCTGCGAGCAGGCAAGATCAAAAAGTCCCTTTGGAATGGCAAAATTGAATCGGCAATCTACAAGACTCCTTTGACCGGCTCAGTCGAAATATGCGAACTTGGTATCACGACAGACGAACATGCATTTCCTAAGCATGTGAGCCCTGACAAGGCCCTCCTCCACTACTGCTCATCTCACTATGACGACTGGAAGAAGGAATTGCCGAACTCAGAGCACTACTTCAAACCCGGCGCATTTGGTGAAAATTTATTCAGTACAGAAGTCAGCGAGAAGACCCTTTGTATTGGGGACCGGCTTGCCATTGGAGATGTCGTTGTCGAGGTCAGCGAACCGCGAGGACCATGCTTCAAGCTCAATCACCGTTTCGAGGTCAAGGACATGGCCAAGCGCACGCAGACTCTTTTTCGCACCGGCTGGCTGTATCGCATAATCAAGACGGGCACAATCAGGAAGGGGGATCTGATCTCGCTGCTTGAGAGACCACATCCGGAATGGACAGTGGCGCGTGTCATGTACTATCTCTTCATCGAAACCAACAACACTAATATGATGGAGGAGATTGTCATGATACCTCAGCTCGGTTGGGATATCAAGGTTCAGTTTCAGGCTAGACTTGACAAGGGCATAGCTGAGGACCAGAGTGGTAGATTGTTCGGGGGCGAAGACGAAAAGACATTCGCTTGGAATGAATATCGCCTGGTAGAGAAGAGGAAAGAGACCAAATCTGTCACAGCCTTTACTTTTGAGGCAGTAGAGGACGTTTCTGATATTTTTCCTGTTCATCCCGGTAGCCATGTGCGAGTGAAGCTAGGTGGAAAGCTGGTACGCGCCTACTCAGTGACTGGTGGAACGTCTAAACGTTTTGAACTCGGCGTCGCTCTCGATCCCGAAAGCCGTGGCGGCTCAAAGTACCTGCATGAGGATGCAAACGTAGGTGACATTATAACGATTGGCCGGATCACAGCGAGCTTCCCGCTAGCCAAAGAAGCAGACAGTCATACCATCATTGCGGGCGGTATCGGCATCACAGCCTTCCTGGTCGCGCTCGAGAAGCTTCAGAAAACAAAGCAAAACTTCCATCTGCATTACGCAGTTACGGAAGAGGTACCTTTTGCAGCCCAAGTCACAGCACTAGGCCCACATGCAACCATCTATAACAAGTCTGCAGGCCAGCGCCTAGACATCTCTTCTATCCTCGGGAAAGCAAATGACAGAACACACATTTACACCTGTGGACCAACCCGACTCATGGACGCTGTTGTCAACACTGCAAAGACTTACGGCATTCCTGAGTCGTCCGTCCATATTGAAGCCTTCACAACCACAACTTCCGGTGATCCATTTACAGCAGAGCTCCGAAAGAGCAAAAAGAGTGTACAAGTTGGCACAACGCAATCGCTCCTCGATGCACTGAAGGCCGTAGGAATGGACATTGATAGCTCCTGCGAAGTTGGCAATTGCGGGACATGTACGGTAGACGTATGTTCAGGTCGAATCGAGCATCGTGGGACTGCGCTTCAAGAGTCGGAAAAGGAAACAAGTATGTTGACTTGCGTGAGTAGAGGCATAGGTACTATCGTCCTAGACTTGTAATACCCACTTATACCACATCCCGCAACCTATCAGTAATACTCTAAGCCATCCCAGATTTCATCTCACACACTCGACTTCACTCAAGCCCAATACACAAAAGTCTTGAAAATTCAAAATTCATATTCCAGAAGCCATTCAAGCCTCCTACTCTTAAAAGAAAAACGCCCCCCCAATGCTAACCCAAGGAAACCATATATAAAAAAGAAGCTTAATCATCCCACCGCATATTCAAAATCAAATCCTGCACCTCCTGACTGCTCAGTCCCTTCTTATTCCCCTCTCCCTCACCCTCACTTTCGGGTTGTGCGTCGGCGAGTCACATGCTACCGTTGAACCACCACGCAGCCGCGGCAGGCCATCCGAGGATTACGGCGTAGAAGGGGAAGTAGCTATTTTCGAATTCGTTAGATGATGCTTTCTTTGAAGAGAGTATGTGGGAGAAAGACTTACACAGCACTCGTCTTAACGAATCTCTGTCCCAAGTCACCAGCGCGCCAGGCATGCGGTGCCATGGTTATGGGGTTGCGGGCAAAAGGGTGGGGTTCGACCATGCCGCGGGAGAGGGTGCGCCACATGATGCGTGCTTGAGTTGCTGACGGCATTTTTGTTGTGTTGGAGTGGTGATAGATCGTCAAATGAGACTTTGTCGTCGATCGATATCTCGAGCTTTTGTTTTTCTGCCCTCTATAACTTCTTTCCTCGTAGGATATAAAAAAAAGGGCCTTGTCGATATCAAGTAGTTGTGCAAATGTCCGATAATCCTCTTCTCTAATATGCTGCTTGTAATGTGTTTGTATGCTTTGTTCGTTGTAGTCGTTGATGTAGTACAAAAAAAACCCCTTTCCCCCAAGGCCCCCCCCCCCCCCCAGTCCTATATACATCCCCAAACCAACCCTCCATCCTACCTCCCCCGAAACAAAACCCACTCCATATCACGCACCCAGCGCCCAAGAAACTAACATTCTCAATCATCGCACCACCAAATCGACTCTCCGATGGCGTGAGCCAGAACCACCATCCCACCCTACACCACCCGGCACAACCCTTACCCACCCGCCTTACCTAACCCCTTCCCCCCAAAGCCCTGAATCAAGAAAAAAACTACCAAAAGAGGTAAACAACAGATTGCTCATCGAACGCAGTCGCGCACCACCGGCGCAAATTGCCTGGTTGAGCACGCGCGCGGTGTAGACAGTAACTACATTAGACGAGTTTTTCTTCTAGGGTCCGAGCAGGGATGGGCTGGGATGTGTTGTTGGTTGGGTGAGGATGGGGTGATATTTCTTCTGCCTTGGTATTCGGTAAGCGGAGGGTGCCGGGCAGGCGTGCCGGGCAGGCGTGCCGGGGCGGGCGGGCGCGAGTCAGGGGTCTGAAGGAAGGGGATGAGGGGGTGGTGAGACGGTGGTGTGATGGGTTGGTAAGACGGGATCTAGGGGACAGGGATGATGTAAGAGGAGGAGGCTGATTCCATGTAAATTATGAGTGGTAGGATTAATGAACATTGTCCTTATTGTCGTCCTTGTCGTCGTTGTGAATTGCACGTAGGGTGCGCAGGCATTCGGAGCTGCATACTGCAATTGGTGGACCATTTTCCGACGAAATTTGCGGCGTGAATGGACGGATTCAGCGCTCCTGTGCAGCCAAACGATACGCATACGTATTATACGTAGATAAAGAACATCGAAAATCGAATCGGGTATAATCATCATCACACATCCTTCCTAACCACCAACTTTCCTCCTCTTGATCTAGCACACATCTACGCCTTGCCCAGCTCAACAATCTCCCCAGACACCATCCACACGCCCTCCTCCTTCTTCCCTTCCAAACACTGCACTCCAGCCTGCACCGCCGCCCTCGCAATAACATCCGCATCCTGCGCCCACGAGTCCGTCAACTTGCCACTCCCAACCAATCCCTTCAAGCCCTTTGCCAAATTCCGAAATGCCGCCTCAGCCGGCCGACTCTCTTCTCTATCCCCTACAATCAACCCGGGACGCAGTATAACCGTATGCTTGAAGCCCAGAGCCTTAACCGCTTCTTCCAACTCGCCCTTCATCCTCGGATACGCAAAATACGACTTTACATTCGCACCATTGGACGAAATGAGGACGCAAACCTCTGTGCCGGCTTTTTTGGCGGCTGTGGCTAGGTCGAGAGCGAGATCGTAGTCGATTTTACGCTGGGCTTCGATACCGCCGGCTTTTGCACGTGTGGTGCCAAGGGCGCTAAAGAAGACCTTGGGGGCTTCGGCTGAGGGGAATTGAGACGCCCATTGCGCGGAATCGCCGGATATGATGGGTTGGAGCTTGGTGGAGCTATTGGGATTGGATAAGTCGCGGCGCGAGAAGGCGAAGACGGAGGAGAAGGAGGGGTGGCCGAGGAGGGTGGAGAGGATGTTGGAGCCCTGGGTAGAGTTGTTAGCCGTGTGTCCGTGGTGAGGGAGATGTGACGACTGAGACGTACGACGAGGCCAGTACTGCCGGCGAGCACTGCTTTTGCCATTGCTAGTCGTTGGGGGTACTAAGGAGGTCGAGGTTTATGGTGGCCCTTCAATCAGAGCGTTGAGACGGCTGTCGGAATGCGCAGTCGCGAACAAATTCCTGGGCTAGATAGCATGCCAGATAGCGTGCTCGATAGCGTGCTCGATAGCGGCTTGAGTGGGGACGATCGGCGAGTCAGTGTGTTGATGGCTCGTTGATCCTATGTGCAACCACAAACACGCGGAAAGGAGGCTGCTGTACGCAGTATGACAACGTCAAAATCAAGCCCTCAAAAATCAAGTTACCTTTGATAGTAGCAGACACAACACAGATTCGTAACATCTCTAGCAAAATAATCGTGAAAGCAGCAACCATTACAGGAAAATGGTTTTTGAGACGGAAATTTTCGGTCTTTCTACATGGTGCGTAGTACACATGATGGTGATCCAACGATAAAGTCTGAGCAATTGCCATGAGCGGCACTCCTGCGCATATATTTACCGCCGATCAAATTTACCGATATCGACACTACTAAGGTGCTAGTATTAGACAAGAAAATCTATAGTTTATCATTGCCGTCAATACTTCGGTGATCAAGTTGGTCCAGGAAGAATCCATCACTGCAAGCCATCATGCATCCTACAACTGCATTTTAGCAAATGCAATGCTTGGATCATTAGCGGTAGTTCCAAGCTTCTGAAATTCCATGTATCGCTCAGACCCAGTTGTACCACTAGCACGCAGAATATCAAACTCCTCTTTTGTCGTTTGATCCTCAACCCTGTACGGCCAAGGCTGGACAATGGTGTGTTCCTCCTTGATAGCCATCCCACACTGCGTAGCGAACTGGGTGATCTTGCACTTGTCCATGAAAATATTGAAGTACTTGTCCCACGGTTTGAACATATCGGAACAGACAGCACGCAAGATTATGTTAGGATGTGTAATCAGTTTCATCGGAGCTCTAGCCATATCTTCACGGGGTTTACCGATCGGGATGTACTCGTCGAGGCGATTCCTCTCCTTTACAGTCGACTGCTTATCTTCTGGCGTGTTTGCTTCGTTCTCAGTTTCCTGGGCAGCATTTAGGAAGAGCATGAGCAGTGTGGCATTTGGGTTCTGTGAAGTCGGCTTGAGGAGTGGTGAGAAGACCTCGAGGCAGATGTGCGGGCCGAGATAAGCTCGATCGCATATATTAGAGATCTGTGGAAATGTCAACAGTCAAGCATCATGGGGACCGGGAAGTGCGTATCTCACCTCGATGCGGTCAAACTTCATGTCATCTAGATAGCTTCCTATATCTTGAGCATCCATGTTGAACATCCAGAACGAGATATCGGAGCTCCGTAGCCGACCGCAGAACTTAAGAAGTAGTGTTCTGATGTGAAAAAAGATGGCACCGAACTCGTCTGCTTTTGCAGCCGGAGCGTCCGCCATGTACTCATCAAAAAGCCAGCCACGGCGGGGACTAGCATCGTCTTTCATTGGCCATTCATTTTCAACGAAGAGCGTGCTTGGTTAATGTTAATTTCTGATCACTTCATAGAATCAGAGGAGCCTTACGGGTTGGGTGTTTCAAACTCTGTAAGTGAACAACCATAAGGCAGTAAGATGCCAGTATCGCGAAAGTGCATTTCTCCTTGGCGGACACCAGCAGGCATGTTCAGCAGAGCCCGGTCACGGTAATCAACTCTCTCGGTAGCTAGCATGATGCGGCAGCGAATTTTTTGAGCAGCTTCTGCTGACAATCCTTCTGGAACCCGGCAAAAGGTTACCAAGCGAGCCCATTTGTCTCTCTCCAATGCTATTCTTAGCTTTTGGCCATTTATTTCAAATGTCTTTGCCTGTATTGCACTGCCGGATTTGTTCTTGATCTTTTGGCAAACATCTTCTATATGGGAAGGATAGTGGACTCAAGAGTCTGTATAATAGAGCGAGGAAGTAATGCTGAGTACCATAAATGGATAATCATTGGCACTGCAATGTCTGGCTCAAATTGGAGCGCCACGAAAAGCATTACGACATTGCGAGCCACGATGGTGAAATCCTTGTCGTTCACAACAGCAACGCATCTACCTTTGTATCCATCTGGCAGCCCAGCGATGGTTTTGATGACGTTTCGAAGATCGCCCGATGCGGCAAAGAGAAGGCTGAAGTCGTGACTTGTTGCACTGGTCCTGCCTTCATTATCTTCAAGCTGCAGAATATCAAGGGCAGGTATGTTGCCCCAGAGATACTTTCTGTTGCCGAACGTGCTGAGTACGGGACCACCCAAAAAAGCAGGTAGACGGTTATCGCGATACCACTCGGGCGCCCAAGTGCCTTTCATGAATTGGGATCTACATCTCTTCTTATGACGTGACCAATCTGCAGTCTGACATTCCTTTGAGCAGTACTGTTGTCGCGTCAGTAGGTCAAATAAGGCTATAAAAACGGGCTATCCAGTCACGGGAAATGAGCTAGAAAGACGGTAAACATACTTTAACCATGTGACAGCTCTTACATGAAAAGCTAGTCCGTGCCTGACACGGCTCCTGCTTGCTGTTGGAACAAAGTAGTGGCTTGCTGAAAGTCGACAGACTGGAAATATCAACAGCCATTTCGTTCACAAGGTGTGAGAAAAGTTGTGATCCGATCAAAACTTCTTGCCGCGTTGCGCGATGTTGGCATATGGATACTACGGTCCGTTAGGAAGAACAAGTGGAATTCAACAAACTGACAGCCTCCAGTGAGCATGATGCGATCTATGAGGAAGATTGTGGGTAAATGAATGTTGTGAGAGCAAGCGGTTGGAGAGGGAAGGCGCATGTTCGCATGACATAGCGATCACCTGGTGTGTTTGCCGAGGACTTATTATTTGGCAACCAACAAGAGGAATGGGAAGAGTACCCAATCACTTGACGACACGACTTGTTGTGCAATTCCAAATTTACGTAGGCGACCTACATGATACCAGCACAATCAGAGTTTCTCCACACATGGTGCATGTTCGCATATGCTTACGAAAAATGAATCGATTACTATCCAGATATAGTATACAATAAGTTCGTACGACCTAGAACGGTTCTTGGCCCCCACATTGAACATGCTCCGGCCTGGTTTGGTCCAACCGATAGTATCGTTTCTTCAGCCTGAACACGCTTATCACTCTTCTACTTTGCTTGTCAGATTGTGGCAGCTTTTGGTGCTGCCGGTTCGCTTCCCTGATACAATCACGAAGCTTTTGGAACTGAAATCTCACTCAAAACCCATTATATATTGGAGGGGCTGTTGTGCGTCTAATGTATATAAAGCAAGATTGTTGTGGTGTTGGGTGGCTCGATTTGCGCCCAGGTTTGTGTAACACCCCACGCTGCACGATGAGGTGTCAGTAGTGGCTGTGTTGCCATATACGCGTGATGAACAAAGCCTAAGATAAGGGGATATGCACCTCTGGTAACAGTTTGTTAGCTGTATGTGGGGCTCAGTATGCGAAGTAGCTGCGTATTGAGAACGATAGCCAATTCAGCGATCATATTCTAGGGAATACAAGCTTGCACACAGATGTCTGTAGAGGCTCGAGCCCATCAACTGTACTTACGCTCTTCATCTGCAAAAGGTGTGACTAGCGAACTGTTAGCTGCATGTACAGTGATTCAAAAAATTTCCCAATGCACATTTGTCCTAGAAAACTCAAGTCACTATTGTTGCACTAAGCTATCTTTGATCGTTTGCGAACATGAGTCGTCGTAACACAGGTTTTGCATCACCTTCGCGCCTCCTCATTGCGATCATCACGCAGATTCGTATGCATTCATGAAAAATAAACCATATTCAATCACTTCTTTGCTCTCACTGCCATCTCAGAAATTCACCACACCAGCCTCCAACACCCCCTCCTCCCCAATCAACCTCTTCAGCACCTCTTCCCCCACCGGCTTATCAACCCCCAGTATCATCAATGCCTCCTTACTCCCCCCTTCCTTCACCTCACCTCCATCACCCCCATTCCCCCGCTGCTCCTCAACCTCCTCATCCAACGGCGCCACATTCATAAACTTGATGTTGACCCCCGCCTTCCCCAGCAAATTCCCCACATACCCAATCTTGCCCACGGAATCAAAGTTCCGACAGATGATTAGCGTGCCGCGCGGTACGAACTCGCCTTTGAATCTGTCCATGCGAGAAATAAAAGGTCTGTTGCCCGAGACGAAGCCTTGGATGATTTGGTCGTCTTCTGTGCTGTTATTGTTGTTGTCTCGGGCGGTAGTAGAGCGCGCTGATACGCTGGAGCGAGATTGCTGAGATACGGAGCGTGAGGCGCGGGCGCGGAGGGTGATGAAGGAGGCGTAGGGTTTGTCTTCTACGTTTTCGCGGGAACGCTGTTCGTTGATGAGGATACCGCGTTCCTTGGCGAGGATCTCGGCGTTGACGATGTTGATGTTGAGACCATCGCTTGAGGTGATGGGGGTTAGGAGGCCTTTGACGAGTGCGGCGAAGAGGGGCTTGGTGGTATTGATTGTGGCGAGTTTGCCTTCGTAGATTAGGTCGAAGGTTGTGCGGAAGGAATCTTTTTTGACACTGGAGTAGTGTTGAGTGTATAGACTGCCCATCTTCTCGACGAGATTGATAAAGGGCTGGAGTGTGCGGTATTCTTCTGGAAGGACTATCGGGGCATTGACTGCCGTGCGAGGAAGCTCTCCAGACAGGATCGACACCACTTGCTCGCATACGTCAATTGAGACATTTTCTTGTGCTTCTGTGGTTGAAGCACCGAGATGGGGTGTTGCAACCACCTTTGGATGCGCGATCAATCGGGTCGCAGATGAGTTTGGCTCAGGAGGCTCCGAAGTAAAGACGTCGATTCCAGCTCCTGCAATCTTACCAGCGTCCAAAGCTTCTACCAGAGCATCTTCATCAATCATTCCGCCTCGTGCCACATTCAGAATCCGTGCAGTGGGCTTCATCGTCTCTAGCTCGGCTTTTCCAATCATACCTTTGGTTGAAGCTATCAGAGGTGTGTGGAGCGTCAAGAAATCTGCTTCTTTCAAAATCTCAGCAAGACTAGGCTTGAGCGTTACTGATGCCGCTGCTGCCAAATTCGGATTGGCGTAGGGATCGTATGCGATGAGTCTCATGCCCAGGCCATTAGCGATCCGGGCGACTGTAAGACCGACTATGACAGTGTAAGCGGTACTCAGCTCCTCAATTCTCCTGTATTACCTTTGCCCAGACCCACAATAGCAAGAGTCTTTCCCTTGGCCTCAACGCCTACAAGCCGACCACGCTCCCACTTGCCCGCCTTGATGCTTTGTGAAGCATCGCCCACATTCCGGGCAACAGCCATCAGCACTTTGACATGTCAGCAGAAACTTCATTTGGGCGACCGTGACGCACTCACGCGCAATAGTGTGTTCCGCTGCAGCATTGATGTTCCCAGAGGGTGAGTTCACGACGATGATGCCATGCTGAGTAGCGCTTTGAACATCAACATTGTCAACACCAACGCCTGCACGAGCTACCACTTTCATATTCTTAGCTGCCTTCAGAAGATCTGCCGTCACTTTGGTCTCGGATCGAACGACTAGTGCATCATATTCGCCGATGATGCTCTTGAGCTCCTCAGGACTGAGTCCCTTCTTTTCGTCCACATCGAACTCATCTTTCAATAGAGCCAGGCCGTCCGGTGACACCTTTTCTGGTATGAGAATTTTGCGTTTCTTTGTATGCATAACAGCGACCATGTTGAATAAAGACTGTGTTGGTTGTCGAGTCTAGGCGTATATCTACGGGAGCAAAGGCTATTAAACTCTTCGATGTTCTGAAGTCAAGTCGTTCAAGGAGGGTTAGGCTCAATTGTTAGTATCCTCAATCGCTATGCTCAAGGGGTCTTGGGGACAGGAAACAGCTGTTAGTCGGAGGGTGAGTATGTATATATATCCAACTAGTTGACCGATGTCCAGCACTGTATGTAAGACCATTGTAACAAGCCGATACCGGCTTGCACAGTACATTTGTTACGACACGTCAGATTTCTGGTCCGGCAGGCCGTGTTGACTCTGGTTACCCCGCACTTTTACCCCACGGGGTACGCTATATTGCGGACAGAATGGACGAACCCGCATTAAGGATACATAACTACTCAAATTAGCTCTCAGCTAAGATCCAAGTAGCCTGATAACGTATTTTGTGTGTAATGGCAGTTAGTGCATAGTTGACCTCCAGACAGGACTTGTAGGGCAGCTAACAAGAGCCTTGGTAGTGGTATCACGGGATGCATCATTCGTGCAGCGTAGCCTGCTAGTCTGAACGTAGGACTGCATTCATTGGAGGGTTTGTTGGTGTTGCGTGGGATATGTACATGATGCGCGGGTGGTTGGCGCCGCGCTCTTACCAACGACTACGTGTCTTGAGCTTCTCGTTCTGCACAACCTCGATCCAGTAACCGTCGGGATCTGCAAAGATTATCAGTTGCCAAACTTGTGTATCAAAAGGATAACTGCATACCTAGCACAAATGCAATTTCCTTCATGCGACCATCGGTGAGCCTCTTCTTCCAGTTGACCTTCTTTTCCTCAAAACGAGCACATGCGGCTTCTAGATCGTCAACAGCAATGCAAATGTGGCCAAAGCCCTGAGGCTCATCATTTCCGTTGTGGTACTTGAAGCTGGCGTCTTTTTCAGTTCCGTAGTTATATGTTAATTCGAGCAAGCCTTCGTTGTCCGCAACGGGATTAACACCGTTGGCAGTAGCTTCTGGTGCGTCTGGACCATAGCCAAGGAAATAAAGGTTGAACTCAGCACCTGGATTTTCCGACGTGCGCTTAAGCTTCATGCCCATGATGTCTTGGTAGAATTTGAGAGAGGCATCCTTGTCCTTTACGCGAATCATGGTATGGTTCTGCTTCTGTCAGCTGTGTCTAGATGAGCCCGTGTCGTATCACCTACCATGCGATATGTGCCAACGTCCGTGTCTTTGACGCTCTCAGTCTCCTCGAGGGGCTTTTGGCCAATCACCTCGACCCAGTAGCCATCAGGGTCAAGGACGAAAGCAATGTGGCGCATCCGCCCGTCGGTTAGCTTCTTTTGGAATTTGTAGCCAGCGTCCTCTAGCCTTTGGCACGCAGCTTGAATGTTATCGACTGAAATGCAAAGATGGCCAAAGCCCTTGTGAGGCTCTGTGTTGCCGTTTGTAATCTTGTAGTTTGGGTCATTTTCGGTTCCGTAGTTGTGAGTTAGTTCGACAATGCCTTCGCGATCTGACCAGTGATTCCCGTGGGAAACGGCCTTTGGACTGTCGTATGCAAGAAAGTAGAGATCGAACTTGGCGTCGGGGTTCTTGAGCTCATTGATCTGTTTCATGCCCAGAAACTCATAGAACTGGATGGAGCGCTTTGGATCCTTGACACGGATCCTTAGAAGAATCAGCGATTGACCAATTGCGGGTGTTGAGTAGGGAAACCCGCCATGGGGATACTCACATGGAATGGTTGAGCTTGTACTTGGTTGGATCGGTCGTCATGGTGGCTAGCGTACGCACAAGAATGCTTGGGGAATGGTTTGGTCTTGCAAGTCTGAAGGCGGTAGAAAAGGCTAGGCGCGATGTCCTGATACACGGTGGACGTAGAAAAAGCATGAATTGAGCAATCTAGCGAGCTGCGAGGTTGACGAAGCAATTGAGGGGCACGGGAATGAGGAGCGAATGACGTCGACCGCCCAATAAGAAGCTACTGGCTGCTGGCGTGCCCCTCAGCACCATCATCATCGTCCGGCTTTTACCCGGACTTAAGCCTGTGGAGCAAATGATGGCATCTTGCTTGAGTAGAACACCTGTTCACCACTGGCCTAGACGCCTTGTTCACGCACTGGTAGACGCAGCTGCATCGGGGCATCGGGATATCTGCAAACGCATCTCTTCTGGGATACCGAGTGAATGCTAGTGCGGAATTTGCCCGCAGTTCGAGGCTGCAACACAAGTGTATAGATATCGCTTGAAAGTAGACTGGACGGCCAGACCACCAGAAGAGCTCGTCGGCTAAATAATGCACATGTCATCGGGGCTGCACTCTGTGTATGACGTCCTTCACCTGCTGGTCATGATTGCACACTACTATAGAGCAGAGGGCGTCCCCAAAGGGGCGCGAGAGCACGTGCGGCGGAACAACAGCGTTCCGGGTGCTGGTCATAGCTTTGGGCCTCGTAAACTTGGCCATGGACTCCATGGTGCCTACGAAGCCAGTCGCGTACTGATTCTCCTCCCTTCACAGTATCAAGTCGGTCTACCCATCTACCCGGTCACTGTTGGACGTTTCTCGCGCTGCAGGTAGTAAACATCCGTCTGTGGCCTAGGTAGTAGCAGGCGCACGAGGACAGTCCGGGAAGGGGGTTGCGCCAACAATCGACCAGGTACGTGGTCTTCTTACTGCGTCACACGCATTCAGCCCATCGCCCATGATCCCAACCACGTCTCGTTCGATATATTGCCATGTGCTGCACATAAATCCGCATCCATCCGTTTTCACTTGTTGTTAACAACACCCACTATTAGCCTCCTGACCATGTCCGCAATAGGTTTTCCAATGATCAACATCGCCAAAGTGAGCGACTGGCTCACCCAGAACGCCAATGAAAGCATATATCCTCGACTCTTGTAAGTTGTGCTTGTTCAGTGCCGCCGACTAGACTGACATGGCGAGTTTAATGTCCCCAAACGGCACGCTATTGGCGTATTCAAAGCCCGTGCAAACTAAGGAGCTTCGTGACCAAGCTGCCCTCATTTCCATGGCATGGAAGGATCACTGCGCCGGCCGCCAAAAGCTTTCTACGCGAAACGGGGCTCCAGACCATTCGCTCAAGCCCCCACTGCAAACACTCACCATCGAAACCCAGGACTGCAACATCATAGTGCGTCTCTTGCAGCCAGAGTTGCTCTTGGTCCTCATCGGCAGAATTCCCCCAAGCAAAAAGCAAACGTTCAAAATCTCGCCCGAAGGCCAGGGAGACCCTAGGTATCCGGATGTCCATGTCTCTCTTTCTCGCCCCGGATCAAGCGCACAGCTGCATGGTCAGGCTGACGGATCGGCCGACAATCTAAGGCCAAGCAACGGAGGACCGACTATGAAGAACAAGGCGCCTTCTTTATTCAGTAACATGAGTCAGCGCGAGAAAGACATCCGGGGAGGTGCACTCCATGTGCAACGAAAGAAACTAGATGCCTTGGCCGAATACGTCCTCCGAGATTTTGAAGATACCTCCTTCGTTATGCCAGCAGACGCAGACTTGCAGTAGTGCGCGCGCTCCCACCTTTTATCAGAAGACACATGCAGACCCATGCCCTACCATCTTTGACAGCTGGCAGTGTGATCTTCCAATGTTTTAATAAGTTCGACCATGCTAAAGGCATGCATTTCAAATGTTCAAACAGTCCATGAATGACGGCTAGTCCATTTCGCGCACTCACAAAGTGCGGTTTCTCGGGCACGCAAATATCGTTGTGCACCAGGTGAGCAGAGATCACCTATTCAACCCAATACCACCGCCCACGTAAAGGGAGAGGACTTACACCCATCAACATGGTATCCTGGACTCTGAAACTCGACCAAGAGGACATGCGGACCCTTACTCCAAGCTATCTTCCTACCTTAATTAACCAATGTCGGACGCTCCTGATTCAGACCCGAGTCAAAGCGGAGAATAGATATTGGCCTTTGCGATTCACATCGCTCATTGATACACTCGCGTCCACGGGTATCTATTGGCCACCAGGTGCGCCAGCTTGCTCAGATGCAGTCACATCTAGGGCCCATTTCTTCCTGTATATGCAAAGCGCTAGTTGTAGTCTAAGAAGCCTTCAACCAAGTTTACGATTTCCCAAGACCGTCTCCAACTGCGTTGCCCCGTACCGCCGAAGGCAGAACCCGTGCATGTATCCGTTTTACAACGCAAAACATCTCGACTACCATTCCTTACCCGTCTTGTGATCGACCACGGGCGCTTTCTTGTTCACGAAGAGAATTTTCAATCTTTTTGAGGGGTCCTAACAAGTGCTATGGAATCAGGGGCCGTTGACTGTGAAGTAACTTCTTTGTACGTGGACGGATTCACAAGATCGTTCGCCTAGAGATTGTGAGGCTTGTTCCATGAGACTCGAAAGAGATTGTAATGTTGGAGGTCGGTTCGAAAGCCCAAGGTGATATGTGGATCAGTGCATAAGTTGCATCTAATGCATCAGTTGCTTGTACTTCTCTCCGTGTCTTTGTTGTGCTCGTTCATGTGTTATTCTGAACATGACTACTCCTGTACATAGACCATGAAGGATCGGACTCCAAACCCTTTTCAATATTTTGAAGAGGGAAACAAATGCATCCTCACCCTACTTGCCTCATTCTTGATTTCATGATCGATATACTTCTTAAATTTACTAGCTTCAGTCTTTATAGGAATTTGTCGCGTGCAGGGACAACTATACTACCATAATGCTCTTGCTATGTAGTCACGTGACGGTAGCCAATGTTGAATTGCACTGCTAACCTACTGTTAGCCTCAAGCTAGTTCGCATGTCAGATACCACCCATAGAAGATACTAAGAACCCGCTATTTCTTTAGATGCACAGGGATCTGTGTATAAAAAAGCACTGATGATAAAGCTATTCATGTAACAGGGTCCATTCGTGGGCGTACTACATCAGATCTCCGAGCACCGGGATTTCCCCGCCATGGCCCCGCGTGGTCTCTGAAGCACGCAATTCGCGCTAGGGCCAAATTCTCGTCGCGTCAAGGCGACATTCCGCCTATTTGCAATCTCTCGCCCGAAAGACATGCTAAACCATGTGGAAAGAGCCAATCAGGAGCATTACGAACGATTGCGTCTTTCTCGGTCCTCAATCTGCCGATGTCGCTACTGGATGGCGGCACTTTTTGTCTCCTACGAGGCGACTTGTCCACTCCACCGATAAGATCCCCAGGTGAACCCTCGAGGAGAGTCTAGTCTAGCTCTCGCTCTTTTCTTTGTTCCTAAAGGAAGACTCTCAGATCTTGTCGTCAAAGGCTGAGACGTCGAGGCGCATACTTCGCCTTTCAAGATGCGTTTTCAGCAAACAGACTCTGCTGGCCCTGGTGCCGAGCAGAACACACCCAAGGAGTTCACCAAGAAGTCCTCGAGCCTACCCTTTGGCCAGGACCTCTCGTACCAGTCAATCAGCGGCCCTACCTACCTCACGGCGCAAACCCTCGTCCAGCAGGTCGCATATGCCCTCTCGGATAAGATCTTCGCATACTCCGCCGAGTCGTTTGATCTGGATATAGCAGTCAAGTACTGGCAAGAACAGGGCGAGAAGAATGCATTTGGATATCAGACTGGAGTTTCCTCTCTGGAGACAAGAACAGGTGCAGGCGCAATTGCCTTGGGTTACATGTTCTCAAAGGACTTTGATCTAAAGAAGCGCCATATTCCACAGTCAATCATTGCCTCTTCCTCGACGTTGACACACCTCCGCTCGTCTCTTGACCAGCTGGCTGCTCTATACTCAGTCGCCAACCCTCTCACAGCCCACATTGCTGCTGTCGATTACTCTGCGAACGCAAGCGCTGGCCTCGTCACCGACTATGTTTCCTCCCTCACACTTGCCGAAGATCTGGGCCTTGGTCTCGTCTGTAGTCCATCTGTCTTCGAGTCTCAGCACATGGCTCTCTTCGCAACTCTGCTCTCGAGCGTCATTCCTACCATTCACACATACGATGGCATCAGTGTTGGACGAGAGACGGCCAGGCTAGTTGACACGCTCGACCAGGCTAGGCTATACAACAGTTATGAGGCCGTGCTGAAGGCAGTGTCTGAAGTGGACAAGAAACACTCTGATACTGCTGGACGCGTGCTGCGCCTCCTCCAGGCTTTCAATGACGAGCTCGGAGAGGATTACAAGCTCTTCGACTACTATGGCCATGAGGAGCCTGAGAGCGTTCTCGTTGTCTTCGGCACTGTAGAGGCTTCTCTGACTGCCCAGGTTGCGACTGCATTATCCAAGGAGGGTGAGAAGGTCGGTGTCATCAACGTTCGTGTGTACCGTCCCTTTGTGGAGGAGGCCTTTTTGGAAGCGCTTCCTAAGAGCACTCGCCGCATTGCTGTCCTTGGTCAGGTCAAGGATGAAACTGCCGTGCTTGACCCTGCTGAGTACTCGAGGCTATACGCCGATGTATTGGCGGCTGTTCAGTTCACCCTCGACAGGAATGTAGAGGTGACGGACGTCAAGTACTCTCGCGAGCAAGTCTGGACACCCAGCAATTTCCTCGATGCTTTCCGTCAAATCCATGCCGAGAAGGAGGGCACAGAAGCACGTTCCTTTATCGACATCTTGAACAATGCCGATGTGAAGCAGTACAGCTTCTGGAACCTGGACGAATCCCCTGCTGCCAACGCGCCCGCTGTTATTGGCAAGCTCTTCTCCACTGACTCTTCAAAGAACGTCTTTGTGCGCAACGGACACGACAATCTGGTCCAAGGCGGTGTTACACGAACCGACATTCGCAATGCTGACTACACCATTGAGGCTCCATACGCTGTTGAGCAAGCTGATGTTGCCTTTATTGGCGACGAGGCCATCCTCAAGGCATTTGATGTTTTGAACAGCGTCAAGCCTGATGGCTCCATCATCGTCAAGCTCCCAGGCGTGAAGAATGAGGACATTGAGAAGAAGCTTTCTCCTGCTTTCCGCAAGACTCTCGTCAACAAGGATATCGAGCTCTTCGTTTTGGACCCTACTCTCTCTGAAGCTGTTGCTGAGGATGAATCTCTAGAGTCTTTCCTCACTCAGCTCGCGTTCCTCAAGGTTGTTCGGGAAGATCTTCTAACATCCGGCCTCTCTAAGCTCGCTGCTATCAACGGTAGCTCGGAAATTTTCGAGAAGCTCGCTGCGCAACTTGAGAGTGCCCTTCGCGAGGTGGAGGTTCCTACTAGCTGGGGCACTGCTGAGGACGCTGAACCCATCAGCCTTCCCTCAGATATCAACGTTACTAGCTTTGCTCCTTTCGAGCGCACTGAGCCTGAGCCTCCCACTCTGCTCAAAGACTGGCAAGTCGCTGCCAAAGGCTTCGCTTTCAAGGAGGCCTACGGTACTTCTAACCAAGTCCGTCCTGACCTTGGTATCAAGACAAGCATTGTCCATGTCAAGGAGCGTCGTCGCCTTACACCCCAGAACTACGATCGTAACATTTTCCATATTGAGTTCGACCTCGGAGACTCTGGCGTCACTTATGCCATCGGTGAGGCTCTCGGTATCCATGCGGAGAACGACGAGGTGCAAGTCGACGAGTTCATCAAGTGGTACGGCCTCAACCCCAACGAGATTGTCGAAGTGCCATCTCGTGAGGACCCCAACGTATTGGTCAACCGCACTGTCTACCAGTCTCTCCTGCAGAACGTCGATATCTTCGGTCGCCCACCGAAGCGCTTCTATGAGGCACTTGCTGAGTTTGCTAGCGACGAGGCTGAGAAACGGGAACTCCTTCAGATCATCAGTCCAGAGGGTGCTACCGAGTTCAAGCGCCGCGCTGAGGTTGACACCGTCACCTATGCTGATATTCTGCTTGAGTTCCCCTCCGCCCACCCCAGCTTCCACGAGATTGTCCGCATTGTCAGTCCCATGAAGCGCCGTGAATACTCCATTGCTTCCGCGCAGCACGTGACACCCAACTCCGTCTCCCTGCTCATTGTGACTGTAAACTGGACCGATCCCAAGGGCCGCGACCGCTTCGGTCAAGCTACGCGCTACCTCAACAGCCTCAAGGTCGGCTCTCCCGTCACTGTCTCTGTAAAGCCTTCCGTCATGAAGCTGCCCACCAAGACAACCGCCCCCATCATCATGGCTGGTTTAGGTACCGGTCTCGCCCCCTTCCGCGCCTTCGTCCAAGAGCGTGCCTACCAAAAACAACAAGGCCACGAAATCGGCGAAGTCCTCCTCTACATGGGCTCGCGCCATCAACGCGAAGAGTACCTCTACGGCGAAGAATGGGAGGCCTACCAAGACGCCGGCATCATCACTCTTATCGGCCGCGCCTTTTCGCGTGATCAGCCCCAGAAAATTTACATTCAAGATCGTATGCGCGAGTCTCTGAAGGACATTCGACGCAGTTATCTGGAAAAGGAAGGTAGCTTTTACCTCTGTGGTCCTACCTGGCCGGTACCTGATGTCACGGAGGTGCTGCAGGAGGCGCTCGGGGTGGAGCATAAGGTTAAGAACCCCGCAGCGAAGAAGATTGATAGTCGGAAGGAGATTGAGAAGTTGAAGGATGAGGGGAGGTATGTGCTTGAGGTTTATTAGAGTAGGGAAATTGAAGGGCGTTTGATAGACGGATTCGATGGGAAAAATGAACTTGTTTTTTAACAACATGAAGTATGGCTTTTGTCGTGTGGTGTTCTACTGTCGCCATTTGATTCAAAGTAGGGGCACTGTTGAGCTTGTAGTTTCTATGCCTTTTCTTTTCTATGATGATGCATACATGTTGCAGAGGCCCCCTTCCCTACAAATCTCTTCGCCCTACTAAGATACAGTGAAGCCCTCAGTTTCTAATGCTAGACCTAACCCACACAACGCTCATCTCCATACCTACAATGCAAATCAAATGACCCAAAAACACGGTCAGTGAAGATATCACTTCTTCCTCTTTAGCATTTTCGCCCTCTTGGCCTTCGCAGCCGCAGCCCTCAACCGCGCAAGTTTTAGTTCCGCCTCTGCTGCTGCGATTTCTGCTTTGTAGTATTGTTCTTCCTCTTCCTCTTCCTCTTCCTCTTCCTCTTCCTCTTCCTCTTCCTCTTCCTCTCCTCCATCTTCTTCGCCCTCCACCGCCGCCGCCGCCGCTGCCGCTACCACCATCTCCTCCTCAGACTCCCCATGTCCATCACTCCCCCTCCCCTCCAGCACAAACAGCGAGTCATCCTGCCTATGTCGTCCATCCTTACCGCGCTGTGTACTTTTCTGTTTCATTTTCCGCGCCCTCTGCTCAGCAGGTTTCTTAGCCCTCAGCGTACTACGCGCACGCGGCATACTCTGCGCCGAAGACCCATGCGGCAGCGGCGGAAACATGCCGTACTGCGATTTCCGCCAGGCGTGTTGATACGGATTGACCCCTACATCCTCCTCCTCAGACGACGAAGGCGACGACGCGCGTACCTCATCCCTCCTCTTCCCTTTTCCACCATTAGCACCACCACCGCGTCCCCGTCTGTCAGTCTCAACCCCCTCGCCCTGTTCTTTACCATCCCCCTCATCACTCTCCGGCCCAACATCAAAAAGATACTCCACATCCTCCTCTTCTTCTTCCTCTTCCTCTTCCCCCTCCGCCCCTCCTTCCTCCTTAACAAGATGCTTATACCTAACCCCAAACGCATACTTGACCCCCCACCCCTTCCCCAACATGTCCTCGATAACATCGAAATCCGCCCGCCCCAGCTGCGGCTTCCGATTCCCCGTATGCCGAATCCTATACCGCACTACATCCCGCATCGCTCCTTGCAGCCACTGCTTGTCTGATGTGAGTTTGGCGATGCGCAAGATGGAGGTTAGGGATGAGGGGCTCCAATGGAGCGGGTTGGACTCGTGTTTGCGGTTTTGGGGGCGTTGGCGTTTGCGTTTGCTGGAGGAGGTGAGGGTTTTGATGAGGGGGCGGTGGCATTTGGGGATGTAGGTTTTGATGAAGTTGGGGCCCCAGTGGTGTTGGATTTGGTGGATTAGGGAAGTTTTGGTGGCGGTGGGGGAGGTTTTTCTGGGGGGATTGGAGGGGGGAGGGGGTTGGCTGGGTCTTTTGTCTTGGTTGTGTTTCTTGTGTTGAATAGGTTTCTTTGGGGGAGGGTTGGCGGTGGAGCTGGGTGGTGAGCGGGCGGGAGGATTGTAGTTGTTGTCAGACGAATCATAGTGCTGGGTTTGATCTGTCTTCAACCGCTTTGAGGAGGGGGGTTCCTCGTTGCCATCGCTGTCGACGAGACTGGCGGGATGGCGGTGAGCTGGAATGTAATCTTCAGAGGATTCGTAATCCGAGGCTGGTTCTTCTTTGAAACGCTTCAAGGGCGGACGTTCCTCATCACTGTCACTACCAACTGGACTGCATTCCTCGCTGCGCGCTGGAGAATCCGAATCCATTCGGTCCTCGTCGGCGCTCAGAGGTGCAGCAGCGTCTGGATGTCGATCTGCCTCAGGAACACTCTGCGAATCTGACGCGGACTCATCGCCAGCAAGGTAATCAGGACTTGACAGCCGCTCGAGGTACTCTGGCGAGTACGAACGATCTGGGCTGGTAGCCATATTTTTCTGAACGCAAGATACCCAGATATGTGTTGGTTAGAGCTTGGCGATATGCTGTAGGCCCCGATAGTCGATTATACGTGGGGTACTTATAGCGGAGAGATAAAGATCTGAGTCGCCGGTGTGAGAATTTTTAAAAGAGGTCAGGTCAGCGTCAAAGGTGAGAGACAGTGGTCAGTGACTTTCACTGCCTGGTAATCTCTCAAATAGGTAAGCGTCCAGTCTTTAGCGGGTGATAGAGTGGCTAGCCCCAGGTAGAATCAACGGTGAGAGATTAGACACTGATGACTTTCCTGTAATGATCTACCACAAAAGGCCAGTGACATCTGGGATCCAAGCATTATATGACGGCCGCCAGGTCGTCGGAAGCCTTCAGTGGAAGACTTATTCTTATCCATGTCCAACTGGTCTGTAGGCTATGCCAGCGTATGTCAGTCAAAATCGGCCGTGTTTTCAAACTCACCAGATTATTTTGGTTACACAAGCCATGGCACAGAATACACTTCTTCGATGCCCAATGAGCTAGCCACTGCTAGGTCAATGGTATCGAATCGATATGGAAGTGGGTGTACTTTTACTCATAGGTGATATCACTGCGCGACCAGCACAAACAAATACTTACCCCATCATAGCTTTAAATTCCCTAACAATAGCAGCAAACTCCCCCGGATTCTCCACAGCCCATTCCCTCACCTTCTGAACCCCCTCCAAATCCATCTCCATATGCTCCCTCGATGTACTCCCATTCAACACCATAACACCCTGATCAATCACTAGCGCATACAGCGCAACCGGTACCTCAATCTGTGCCGCTTTTGCAAGCGCCGCAACAGGTTGTGACTGCAAAAGGATCGGGTTACCAGTCAGCGTCCAAAAAGACTGATACACAATGTCGTGGGCTCTGCAAAAGTCGCGTAAAGTCATGTCGTAGCGCTTCTTGGGGTAAAAGCGATTCTGCACGACTGCAGGCTTAACAGTGGCGTTTTGGTGAATGATTTGGAGGATCGGCAGAGCTACGTTTGAGATGCCGAGGGAGCGGATGCGATGGGGGACGTATGTTTCCAGTAGCTTCCAGGCTTGGATTGTCTCTTCGACCGTAGGAAGTGGTGAGTGGAGAAGTAGGCAGTCGAGGTAGGAGTCTTCTGGAGAGTTAGCCGCATGTTGTAGGTTCTTGAGCGATGATGCAACGGAAGTGCGGATGTGAGAGTCCAAGGGTGCGTTGGGGTCATAGGGCATGTTGTCTGGGTCTTGTCCCTCAGGGTGAGTATATTTAGTTTGTAGCTACACGGCATTAGTATATTGAGAAGAAAAGTTTGGGTATACGTACGTAGAGCTCTTCTCGCTTCAAGAGACCTTCGGTGAATGCTTCACGAAGCGCTTCTCCAACTAAGGCCTCCTGATAATGACGTGGCTGTGCCGCTGTATCGACACGCCGGAACCCAACAGCCAGTGCCTCCTTCACCAGTCTCTTTGTTTGATCTTCCTTCCAAGCAGTGCCATATATAAATGCCGGTTTATCATCATGCAAACGGGACATGCGGTTGGTTGTTGATAAAGAAGCCATTGTACGAGATGGAGCACACAATCTCAAACGAGATGCAAATGGTAGGGCAGCGATACGAGGAGAAGTTGCAATCATCCTGTCACAACACCATACCGACCAGAATGCTTTTGGCAGAAGCATGGCCGCATTGAGTTGGAGTAGCAGCGATGCGCGGTACCTTGCATTGACTAAGCAGCAGCGATGACACCATTTCACATGTGCCCCACCATGCATTCCGATCGGACCCTTTGCCATCCCGACCAGAAAGTACTGGAAGCCAAGCAAAACCACCACTACCTATTCTCATAACGAACGACCTTTTCCTATATACAACCCCTATAGCTCACTTCCTTATTATTCCAGAAAAAACTCCCCACCAGACATTCACAATGGGACGTCCCGACGGCCCCCGCGACCCCATCGCCGGCCCCGACACCCCCCAACCGCCCTTCCCCCTCAAGCTCCGCGGTCCCGTAATCAAAGGCTTCGGACGCGGCAGTAAAGAAGTAAACCACCCCTCGCCCTCCAATTCAAAAACTAAAACTCAAACCACAGCTCGGCATCCCCACCGCCAACATCCCCCTCTCGGGCCTCTCAATCGGCGGCAACGAAGACCTCGACTCAGGCATCTACTACGGCTGGTGCACCCTCGATCCCTCCACCATCCCTTCTCCCTCTTCCTCCTCCTCCTCCACCACCACTTCCTCAGACTCCTCACCACCATCAACATCCTCCAACCACGCCGTCCTCGACCTAAACTACCCCACCACCCCCGCCCCTTCCCCGCAAACAATCTACCCCACCGTCCTCTCCATCGGCTACAACCCGTACTACAAAAACTCGAAGCGCAGCATCGAAATCCACATTTTGCACAACTTTGAGCGGGATTTTTATGGCGCAACGCTGAGTTTGGTGATACTGGGGTTTATACGGCCAGAGTATGATTATGTGAGTTTGGAGGCGCTGGTGGAGGATATCAAGGAGGATATTCGGGTGGCGAAGAGGAGTTTGGAGCGCGAAAAGTATTTGGAGTGGAAGGGGGATGAGTGGTTGAAGGGAGGCGGCGAGGGTGGCGAGGTTATGGCGAATGGAGAGGGGAATGCGAGGGTGGAGCAGGCCGGGCAAAAGGATGGGGTGGTTAAGAGTGAGATGATGAATTGATGGCGCCGCGGCGGCCGTCTAACTGAGCATTTCTTTTTGGTGCTTGGAGAAGAAGTAGGAGCAAGGACATGTTGTTGTTTCTTTTTCTTCTTCATATGTCTTAGACTAACTTGCACGGCGATATCCCCCCTAGAGTTATCGATTCTAACACACGAATTCGATCATGATAATAAATCCAATGCATACACGGTCTACCGGGTAAGCAAAAGAAAAAAGATTATCCCAACGTACAGAAGAAACACTGCGCCCCCCCTAAAGGCGACAATGGTTCTAAACTCTCTCGTAGCAGATGAGCTTGCTGAATATAAAAAAATGCTCAAAAAGACGCCCATCCCTGTAAAAGCTTTACCAGGAACTATTAGACTAAGATTTGTCTTTTTTTTCGAAGAGCAACCTTCGAAGCAAAAAGACCATCATGTCCCTTCTCTCCACGCTTGTATGTTATTGCAACGTTGTGAAATGCAGCAAAAAGGCACGGTAAGAGAAGAAGGTAAAAAGACATAAACATGAAGACACTTTTGTTACAGCCGTCATCGACCGTCAACACAAAATATGAAGACGAAGAAAGAAGAAGAAGAAGAAGAGAATCATCAAACCTTCTGTCTCGGACTCATTGCAGACCTTTATCAAGCACAGGCATAACCTACAACTCAGCATTAGCATCTCATTACTCATCATCACCCTAGAAGGTATAGAGGGGAAAAAAAAACTTACACTCATACAAACAAGCACAGGCATGTCAAAAATATCGCGCTTGATATGCCACCAGATCATGCAATCCACCATGCCGTTCTTAGCTCCAAGACGCTGCATGGCGCTCTCGCCCTGATGTACGGCGCCGCCCTCCATTTTAACCAGCGGATCATGTTTAGCGTCACCGCCAGCATTCGCGCTCTTCATTTCCTGCAGGCGGTCTACATCTGCTTTGGTCTGGTACCGTAGCATGTTGACGCGCTGGGAGGCATAGCCACGAGGGTCCTGGTAGCAGAGTTCGGAAAAGTGCTGGAGGAACTCGAGGGCTGAGCGTGCGTCCATGAGCTCGATGATGTTGACGCTGGGCGTGGCCGTCTCGCTGTCTTGGGCTGCAAGATTGGGTGTGGTGTTTTGGGTCGATGTGTCACTTTCGTTTGAGTCGCGGTTGATGCCAGTGTTGACATTGAGGTTTGGTTCTTGACCAAGGAGGACCTCGCGTTTCCAGCCAGTGAGTATGGTGAATTCCTTGTTGATGCCGACAATCTCTCCAGAGCGTCGGCATATCAAAAATGGTGTGCCGACTTCTGCAAAGTGTTCTTGGAGTGTCATGAGATGGCGCTGAAGACCCATTTCTTGGTGAATCAAATCATCTCTGTTCAGTTCTTCACGGACCTGCAATAGCACCGGCCGATAATTCTGCAAGTATTGCTGAGCTTTGGCAACCCATTGTCGAGAGTACTTCTTGTCAATCAACTGGTAGAGCCTATGGTAGCCCTTGACATAGTCATAGGGCTTGGTGATGCCCTGGTAGATGCTTTTGGTATCTCGCTGGCGCTTGCGGATGCCATTGGCATGTAGTGAATGCAGTGCGGAATTTGGATGCTTGTTCTCTTGTTGCGATCGATTTACCAAAGGCGAACGTTGTGCAGGCCGACGAGAATTGGCAAAGAAGGCTGCAGCTGCTAGTGGATTGTCACCTTCAAAGGTAGATGCATCCGTGGATGCCGGGCTTGCCGATGAGTGAGTGCCCGGCCCTTGTCCAATAGCGAATGCGTGAGGTCCATTGAGGCTGTCGCTTCGATGACTATGGTCATGATTCGAACCAATGGAAGCATTAGTCTGAGCGTGCATGCTACCCTGTCGCGAATGCGATTCCTGCCATTCGCCCGACGGTATGCCATTCGGGCCGAATGCCATTACGCCAGAATTATTTCGATCTCCGTAACCGGAGGACAACGGTTGGTTGTACATGTTGACAGGACCGTTGATAGCGTTTATCATGCCATTGTCATGCGGGGTTTCTACAGCGCCTGACGACATGTGGCCAAGCATGCCAAACTCTAGTGCGCCATAGTGGTTCCCAAAGTTGAGGCTTGAAATGTCAAAGTTGAAGAGGGCTGGATCGCTTGGATCGAACAGGGGTCCAAACTGCTGAAGCTGGTCTGGTTGAGCTTGAGGTATTGTGCTCGGGTCACTCTGTGCCGTGGTCTGATTAAAAGAGGGAGATATTGGCGACTGCTGGTTGGTAAAGCCACGTGCGTCTTGGGTGACGGGTAGCTGGGGTGGTATTGAATTGGGTGGATAGAAAGCGCCTTGTTGACCCTGAGGGTACATATTGGCTGGGGGTGAGACGGCGACCGTCTGGGTGTCTTGAGTGGGAATTGGAGTAGGGCGATTTCCATTCATGTATGGGTAATGGCCGCCTACTCCGGGCATGAGAGCACCGTCTGGTGCATCGTGTAGATACTTTGCCTTTTTGCGGACACCGTCCATGCAGTGGTCTTGGAGGCCTCGCTTGATACAGCGATTGCAGGGCCTCTCGTCGCCTGTTGATGTTGTTAGCAAGATTGCGTTGGCAGGCAGGGTGAGTAGTACTTGCCGCATGTGAGATGTGCTCGCTGGCAGGCAAAACACGCCCTCCGCGCCTTCTTGCGGCGGGGTCTCAACGGATCTTTGGCATTGGACTTGTTGTTTGCCGGCTTCTGGGCAGGCGAGGTGCCGGCAGACTGGCGGTCAGCGTTCTGTTCAGCAGCCATGTCGTCGTCCAAATCGCTCCGGTACTCGGGCGATGGAGAGGCATCTTCGGCGTCTGAGGCAGTCATAATATCCCCCCCTTCTGCTCAGCACAGCAGACGGTGGTGGGGGGCCAAGCACAGACTGCTGTCGTGGACTGCGTGCAGCCGTGGGTTGGTCTTCTTGGGATGTTCCCGGCAAAACGGGTCAGTCAATGTTTCTGGGGGCGCACGGGACGAGGCGTTCCAGCTGCGTGTTTGAGAGAGCGATCACGCGTGGGCTGGACAGGGAGGATGGGCGCTGCTGTGACACTGTAGGGGCTCCAATGACGAGCAAATGCAGGGGAGCCCAATGGACAGAGGCAAAGGTCAATCCGGGGGACAGGTATGGAACAGTGCGGGCGTGGTACGAAGCCGGGATGGACGTAATCGAGGGAGCATTCCAGTCGGACACAGAATCATGTTTGATAGCAAGATGCTACCGAGACGCGCTGCCCATGCTGCTGGGACTAGTCGAGTGCGGTTCTACGAGATGCGCCGGGGTGGGAGAGTGAGAGGAGCGCGGGCAAGAGGCAAGGGCAGCCAGGTGGCAGTGGCGCTCAGGCGTCCTCGCTTCGAGTGACGAGCAGGGAAGGCGCGACACGGTAGAGCGACGTTGTGGTACGGGGCGAGGGAAGTGACGGTCGGCGCAGGAGGCAGGAGCGAACGAGCACGCGGGCAAGCGAGAGCGATGGTCGGACCCAGCTTACAGGCGGAGCTGGCTGGCTGGCTGGCTGGCTGGCTGCGAGGTTGGGAGCCGCGACTGGTTTTTTTTTTTACTCTTGCTGGAGACGGGGCAGTTGTAGGGCTGAGAGCAGGACGACAGGAGGGAAGGTGAGCCGTATGGGCCGCGGGGAGGGCTCGGTGCGGTGGGAATGTTGGAGTTGTCGCTGGTGGAAGTGCTGGAGATGCGCGCAAATGCGCTTCCCCGCAATTGGCTGTCGAGGTTTGCTGGAAGGCGCAAGAGCCCACGCACACGCACACAGAGAGACTCGCACCTGCCTCGGTCCCTGTCGGCCGGTAAGCCGCGTGCTTGGCCTCACACTAGCCGGCCCAGCGACATGCCTCGCAGACGTCACGGGTAGATGGAGCCCGCCCTCGCATTGCCGGCCATCGACTACCACCAGACTACCGCCTGCTGCTAATGCACATGCATGCTGATGCCATGCTACGCATACCATGCCATGCAAACTACTATGCCTTGCCCATCCACCTCCCTCTCAAATAAAATATATCCACACATCCATAGCCTCACTTTCCCTCGCTACTGTCTGCGGGAAAATCTTGCCCTGTTTGTCCGCCCAATCCCCCCCGTCCAATTCCCACAGCGACAGGTCATGCCACACAGCCCCCCATGCCCAATAAGCGGCCAGCCGCCCGGTTCCCAAGTCTCGCACGCTCGGCTACAGGGCATGCATGCAGTGGGGGGCCCATGGCCTTTTGCGAGGTCTTAGCGCCAGCCATTACTCGCTCCACACACACCCTGGTACGACTGACGACCATCATCAACATACTACATACTACTCCTCATCATCATCACCACCACCACCACCACCATCGCCACAACCACAATCTTACTCGCTGCACCGCTGCCCTATCATCGCATATCTCCCCAGTGGCGTTTCTATCCGCAGCCACCACCCATCTCTCGTGGCGCTCCCGTCGCCTCTGTCCCTCGAGCTGGCGTGGCCGCCCTCGTGGCGCTCCATGTTCCGTCGTACAAAGGCCCAGCCAGCATGCTTCGTGTCGTCTCACGCATGGGCGCAGTATCCCTGACTCAATCAAAACAAAATACCATGGCCTGCAAATGCTGTGTCACTCGTCTCTATTCTTGGTCTTGCTCTCCCACTCATTGCTGCCACATGCCCTCGCATAAACACCCATACCCATACCCACCCTCTTACTGCTATCCTGACGCGTACCGACTGCCCTCGCGAAGACGCTTACCGTAGCGAAAAAACAAGATAGGAAACCTGCGGCATACATATTAGTGCTTCCCATGACCATTGCCTCGGGTTTCTGCTTCCTTACGGTGCCATTGCTAGAGCCAGGAACGCGAGCACAGTCGTCGCCCACTGGTAACCGAGATCTTGACCACATTAGTGACCGCTCTTTTGCAAATGGTGCTCCCTCTTGTCCACTTACTGTTGTACATCTGAACACCAAATAGCCTATGCCATGAGTTAGTCATCTGATCTGCCCACAACGGTTGGCCTGGCTTACGGGAAGGCTGCAGCAAAGTACGACCGCGCAAAGCTGTTGGCAGCAAGAGCAGATGCAGCATATACAGGGTACTGTTCGCCGACGTCAACACTCTGTACCCGCCACCCTGGCCCGATGTCGGTGCCTGCGTAGACAACTCACTGCTTCAACCAAAAACGTAAACACCCCAGAGTATACCCAAATAACCCTACGTCACACCATCTCATTAGCAAATCTCCTTTCCTTTCCTTTCCTTTTCTTCCCAACGACATGCACAAGGGTAGTACTCGAAGAGAGGGAGAGAGAGAGAGAGTTCAGTTCCAAAAAAAAGGAACAAACATACCCAAGACCGAATATTCCCGAAAAGATTATTGGAACTGCAGTGTCATGGTCAATCAGTATTGCATCTCAAAAGCACATGCCGATTTGCTGCCGTACCTATCCAGTGAACCTACGGAGATCAGCACGTTAACCCTTGGCACTTCCACCTCTGCAGCAAAATAACGGACTTACCGATGAGTACGTCGTCCACCCAAACCCTGCATAAGCACGGTTAGAAGCCTAGTCAACAATGCCGAACCGTCACGGGAAGCCTACCAAACAGTGCAATAGGAACTACCCAGGCGCCTACAATCGTCGACGGGAGCCGAAACTCCGGTTCGGAGCCGCCGGGCGGCCCTCCTTGCTCCTCACGCTGTCGCACAAGCCGACCGTATACCCTCCTCCAGATGGGGTCAGACGAAACACCAGCCACCATGCCCACTAGCAAGCCCAAGAACGCAATCCCAGTCTCTGAGAGGCTGAACCCGTGATTACTTCCAAACACGAGCGGAAAGGCGCCAAAAAACAGGTACAGGATACCCAGCAAAATGGCCGACAGGATACACAGGTTCAGGCACTGTCGAGTCCACAAGGTCAGTTCCAGCCAATCACCCACCTGTCGAATGACCAACAACACGTACCATGGGCTCAAAAAACAAAAGTTGAAACGGCCTGATGCACGACCACATGACGGTTTTGGTAATGGATCGATCCATTTTCTCGATTGGCGCTATCCATTCCTGATTGCCAGTCTCCTTACGTAGTCGTATGGCCTTGCGGCGGAGAAGAACGGGATGATACGTCTCAGGTACGAATAGAATAATGAGGCAAAGCTAATAAGGATCAGCATCAGCCTGTCTCTGTGCATACGAGCGTGGCAATAGCCAAATCTTACCTGAATTCCCGACCAAATGATGAGCAAGTAGAAACACCTGTTTTCCCTTTAGTCAACACACCGCTCCTTGCTACGTGGCAAGTACCAATACAAAATAAAAGGTACGCCGTCATGAATACGAGGACCAAGCTGCTAGGAACAGCATCATATCGGCAGTACAACCAAACCTCCCATGTTAATGTGCAAGGCAGGCACTGTGTCACAAGAGTGGGGGGGAGAAAGGGCTTTTGTGGGCCCAAATCAATAAACAACTTACCATCTCCAAGTAGTGTTCTCAACAATGAAGCCCCCAACCAGTGGTCCTATTTCCGGACCCACAAATGGGCTTGCAGTGTATAGCATCATCGGTGCCGATAGTTCCTGTGTATCGCTCACGCGCGTCAGAAAACAAAGAGAGAAATGGACCAAATTTGGGTAAAGTGCAGATGTAGGGCAGACTAACGTGTTTCGCAAACATGTCGCCCACCGTTCCTCCGGCCACACTGAGAAATGCGGAGCCAGCAAGTCCATCTAGGAATCGGGCTACAAGCATCGTCTGGATGTTTTGAGCTACCGCGCACGGAATCATCCAGATGAGGAAGAAGGAGAAGGAGCAGATGTAGATGGGTCTTCTCCCGAAGAACTATTCTCGCGTTAGTCCAGAAATTTCACACTATTACAAATTGAAGCAACGCACCTCAGAAAGGGGACTCAGAATCATTGGCCCAGTACCCAGTCCCGCAACGAACAAGGACAGCCCGAGCGTGGATACCAAGCGCGAAGCCCCAAATTCCGGTTTCAGCTGCCTGTATGTCGAGGTGTATAGCGATGAAGTGCATGTGCTGTCCGGAAATTCCTTCGTCAGCTTCTTCGTTTGCAAAACACCTTCCAAGTTGCTTCGGATATATCTGTGGATATATCTTTTTGGAATTCCGGGGGAAAGACCTACACGCAAAGCGAACTCGCAGAGCAAATAACAACGATAGCCCAGCGCCGCAGTTTCCCCATGCTCCGCGGATTCTCAGGATCAGCATCGCCGTCCCAGGACACTAGATACGGCTGTTCAGTCACAGCACCAGATTTCGCTCCCGCCGCCGTTGTCTTTGTCGTCGGTCCTGGCGCACTTGTTGCTTCTGGGTCAAAACACGTGTAGCCGTCACCACCGGCTCGCGAGTGATGCGATTGAATCGTCTTCAAGCTGCGGCCATCTTGGGATCGTCTGCTCTGCGCGCGGGCTCTATCCGCTATTTCCTGCTCTTCTTTTTCTATTCCCTCCATGCTTTCATTTGCGTCGCCAGCGTACCCATCTCTTTTCTCAAAGGAGCTCGAACTGCGGTCTTCGTGGCCTTGGTGGGTGGAATTGGCGGTTGGATGCCTGGCTAGATCCATACTTTTTTTTTTCACTCAGTTCCCCGTCTCAGTCGCTTCAATATCCTTTTCTCTCTTCTTTCGCGCCCCAAAAGGGCTGTTATCTCACAAAAGCCACTAGACTCGCCACTCGCTGGAATTTCCCCTTCGAAGATGATGAAAAACGACGTAAGTTGCCGTTCCCGGATATAACTCGCTTCAAGCAAATTATCGCCCCTTTGCTCAAGGATCCTTCGCGTCGCCACCTCAATCGTCGCAAACACGACAAGATACAAAGCAAAGCAAAGAAAGAGAAAGAAGAACGACAAGAAATCGAAGTGGAGAAAATCCACCACATCTACACAAAACACCCACCACCCCCAACTCATCCTAACCTCCTGCGCCCCCGATTTCCGCAAACGAAACCCACACACACTGAGTCTCGACTTGCGCATCACCGCCGAGAAATGACGTTCTCCACCCCCCCTCCTCCCCCCCAACCACCCCTGCTACTTGCTACTAGCTAGCATGTAAGTAGCGCACTTTAGACATTCATTACTCTATCTTCGCTCTAGCTTTGCGCCGAAAACAGCCGGGGTGCGTCATCCGATTGTGTGGAAAAGTGCGATATCTCCGTCCTGCATCGCTTTACTGTACAGCCCATCTTCCAACCCCAACATACCTTTTATTCTAACATCACACCTATTTCGCGTAGCTACTCTTTCTCTCTCTCTCTCTCTCTCTCTCACACACACACACACACACCTTTCTTCCCCACCCCCACCAAACCTATCGCGCTGCAAAGAGAAAAAAAATAACCAAAAGACTCGTCCCCTCGCGACTTCGCGGCCTCCGAATCGCACACACACACACACACACACACCACTAATCCCCATCCGTCCTAAACCGCCCTTCCTACCCATCCCATCCTTACTATACCACAACCCGCATATCCGACCCTTGGAACCCTCGGAAAATCCTACTTCCCCCCCGCCCCGCCCCCCTTGTTCGGAAAAACACTCTTCCACACTTACCCGCGGGTAACCACACACACTACTCATACACCCGCCGCATAGACCAAGTAGTGTTAATAGATAAGGTAGATGGAGGGGGCGGTAAGAGAAAGAGAGAGAGAGTGAGTGACAAGGGGCTAGGAATACGAAGACTGTAATCTAGATTGCTAGAATGGATAGGTAGATGCGTAAAGCAGCATCCTTGTAGGATTTTGCGGTGGAGAATGAGAAGGAGGAGGTGTAGGAGGTGTGGGTCATAAGTCCGAGGAGTGCGGGCCGATTGTGGTACTTTACATAGTTACTACTGGCATGTGTGAGTAGTCGGTGTGGAAGGTGGGTGTGCTTGGTTACTTGGTTACTTGGTATTTAGCGCTTGGGGGTTAGGGAAGGAGCGGTATTTGCCAAGCTACTTATACGATGGAAGAGGTAGGTGTGTGTATGTATATATGTTGGGTAGGGGTGTAGTGGTTTGGGGGGAGGGCAAGGGGGGGGGCAAGTAAAGCACGTGATCGGCGCGTGCGGACCGTTGTGGAAAACGGCTGCAGGGACTGAATCGGGCGTTTGAGACGTTTGCTTTGCCTTTGCTTTTCCTAGAAGCGAAGAGGAAAGAAGAAAGGAACCAGGGGAAATAGCAAGACAGGGTTTTAGAGATAGGGAATTGTTCTTGCAGATAGTACTGAGTCACAGCTCAGATATACAGGCATTTAGATGTGCGATCGCATGCCAAGAAACACCATCGTTATCCAAACGAACAATTCCTTGCCCGTACATTACTAACTCGCAACAGGGTATGTACAACCTCTCACCTCCACCTCTCACTTTATTCCCCTTCGGCCACCTCCTCCCTCAACCTCTCCTTCAACCCCCCCTTCCCAACATCCAACGCCCGCCTAATCTCCTCTTCCTCCTCCCTCAGCCTCCCTTTGCCATATGCCAAATCGCGTTCTTGTCTCCTCTTCTCCTCTCTAACCCTACGCTCCCGGTCCGCCAGCGCCTTCTCTCTGCGCTCTCGCTCCGCAATCTTCTTGGCGCGCGAGGCTTCTTCTTCGGCGGAGTAGGTAGCGCCCTCGGGCGCGGGGGGTAAGGTGGAGATGTATGTTTTGATCAAGGGTTCGCGCGTTGCTGGTGGGAGGGATATGAAGCGGAGATCGCCGAGGACGGGTGAGGGTAAGGTATCGAGGGTTGTTGATTTGTTTAGTAGAGCAAGAGGCTGTGCGCGGAGGAGGGCTGTGAGATCGGTTTTGAGATCCGAGGATCTCATGGCCAGGCGCTTGATGTGGTCGCGGTAGAGTTTCTCTTTTTCCTTGTCGGGAAGTTTGGCGTCTTTGATTTCGGGCTCTTTTTTGAATTTTCTGCGGAATTCGGGCCAGTAAAGTTTTGGGGTTGCGTGGCGGTCGAGGAGGGCGAGGTATGGTATTCGAGGGTCGCGTTTGGCTTGCTTGGCTTTTTCTTCCTTGAGGATCTGCGCCTTGTCTCGAGACCACTCGTTGAAGCACTCCTTGCGCGCGGCCATGTTTGGTAGAGCCTTGTAGCGTTCATCATCATAGAGTGCGCCATCGTCGAGGACCTTGTCCCAGGGAGTAAAAGGACTTGTGCCCGTATCATCCAACAACTCTCTGAACAGTGCTTTGCAGTCTTCCTCAGACAAAGCAGGTTCCTCGTCATCATACTGATCATCGTAACCCTGGTCCATCTCCATTTCTTCCATTTGCGCCAATTGCCAGGCGAGATCGTCTTCACCCATTTCAGGTGGTTCGTCTCCCGCCGGCTCTTCAGTGCGCTGTCGTTTCGATGCATTGCCCGAATCGCCTTCGTCATCTGTAACCTCAACCTCTTCATATTCCTCATCGTTCTCCATATCTTCGTCACCATCCACTTCCACAATCTCAACCTCCTCTTCAGCAGCCGCTAGTTCCGCTTCAATCTCCGCCATAGCAGCAGCATCTTGCTCATCCTCAACGTCGCTCGGCTCGCCCCGCTCCCGGCGTTCCTTGCGCTCGCGCTCCTTGCGATCAAACTCAATCACAGCAGACATGACATTGGGCGGGAACTTCCAAAAGCTCTCATTCGTCTCCTTGTTCCACACAAAACGCCGTCCAAACTTGGTCCTCACTAGTACCCATGGCGCACAATTGGGGATATCCTGGCGATGCTTAGGCCGGTCGTCACGTTCTCTTCGTCGGTCGTTGAAGTTGTTGTGTCCACCACGCATTCCGCCATGATGTCCGCCTCTTGATTGTTGCCCTCCGCCATGCCAGGGAAACTGTTTCGGCGCGCTTGCGAATATGAAATCGTTGAGCGATGATTGGGGCTGGGTGGTTGGTTGCGTCGACTGCGTGTCGTATCCAGTGTCGTACTTTTGCGCCGCGGCATAGGGAGTGGGCGCAGCAGGTGCAACGGGGGGCGTTGGTTGGTAGAATGATTGTGCCTCCGCTACGGGCCGCGTATATGTCGACTTCTTAGTTTCCTTGTTGTAATAGTAAGAATGTCCTGAGATGAGTTAGTGGAGGCATATGACGCAGGAAGAGCTCTAGCTACCAGACGGCGCCTTGTGTTCTGTCCAACCTGGAGGAAGCGGTGGCGGCGGTGCAGGCGGTCGAACAGGAATTTCAGACATGTTGAAGTAATGACTAGTCAGAAGAGCCTGGGAATATCCAGAGCCTTCTCACGTAGCGGAAATGATCAAGGTTTGATGTTGCGGCTGCTGGATCCAAAATGTGGTCGGCGCCAAGCACAGCGGAATCGCCGACGCGCTGCGTAGGAGCTCGTGCCTGGAGCTCTTAGAGTACAAGCACAGCACCAACCAGCCCACGCCGACTTCCCCACCATCCTCCCTTGTCTTGTCGGCGACAACAACCTCAACACCCCAGACTATCCGTGTAGAGTGCAATCATGTCGCGGAGATACGATTCCCGAGTACGCATTGTGATATTCCAGGCGGCAATATCGCAACTGACGGTGTATATAGACAACCATCTTCTCCCCAGAGGGTCGCCTTTACCAGGTCGAATACGCGCTTGAAGCCATCTCGCACGCCGGAACAGCATTAGGTATCTTGGCTCAGGATGGCATTGTTCTAGCCGCAGAGCGAAAGGTCACCAGCAAGTTGTTGGAGCAGGACACATCGGCCGAGAAGCTATACATCCTGAACGAGTGCGTAATTGAGGGCAAATGTCCTAGGCAACTATGCTGACAATTCTACAGCAACATGATTTGTGCCGTTGCAGGAATGACAGCCGATGCTAACATTCTCATCAACTATGCCCGTCAAGCCGCCCAACGCTACCTCCTCACCTACAACGAAGACATTCCCTGCGAGCAGCTCGTCCGCCGCTTATGCGATCTCAAGCAAGGTTACACGCAACACGGTGGTCTCCGACCATTCGGTGTATCCTTCATTTACGCCGGTTGGGACCCGCAGCGACAGTTCCAGTTGTACCAGAGCAATCCCAGTGGCAACTACGGCGGCTGGAAGGCAACGAGCGTTGGTGCGAACAATGCTTCTGCACAGAGTCTGTTGAAGCAGGACTACAAGGAGGAATGCAGTTTGAAGGAGGCATGCGGGCTTGCCGTCAAGGTGCTGAGCAAGACAATGGACTCGACTAAGCTAAGCAGCGAGAAGAGTGCGTCCGCAATTCCGCTTTCCGACAAGACAATGCTAACAACCAATAGTTGAATTCGCGACAGTAGGAAAGACCAAGACCGGAAAGATCTACCACCACCTCTGGGGCGCGGACGAGATCGATGCTCTCCTCAAGGAGCATGGCCTGGCCAAGGCTGAGGACACCGAAATGTCCGAGTCATGAAGAACACGAGCGATGCACGACATGAACAGGCGCAATGAAAAGGCCTCTGCATGATAGAACGAGGCTTGTAGTATACCATACAGTGAGAACTATGTGGCATCTCGTAGTTAATCTCACACTTCATGACCTGTTTTGCGTGAATGTTATTGTCCGAGTCACATGAAGTCGTGTTATTGAAGTGACTACTGCCGAAAGTGAATTGTTCCTGCCTCTTCCCTTACGCGACGCCGACACCTTCCCACAGACAACACTAACAGCATCAAGCTTTTCCCTCATGCTACCCTGACCTCGTCTCTTGTCTTCCTCACCCGTATCTCAACTACGCTGTGTTGCATTGCTTAGCCTTACACTCATGAGCATTCTAACCCAACATGACTACCCCTCGCCAGCCTAAATCGGAATTTTCTAGCAACCTTGGAACTCCTCCGTCATTCCTCAAGCAGTTACTCAATGAGATTGGTGGCGTTAGTACTCCGACAGCTTCGGTCAATGACAAGATGTTGCGAAGCAGTTCAAGGTACAAGGACTGAGCAGCGTCCTGTTCTCTCTAGGACCTCCAGTTACCCAAACAACTGACGTGAGCAGAGCGGACACCACTGGAGATGCAGAGAAGCGCGTGCCTTCCATCTGGGTTGGCGGTGCGTCCGCTGCCAGAGACGCCCGTGAGAAACTTCGAGCAGCCGACGAAGCACGTTCGAAGAAGAGGAACATATCCAAGGCTGAAGGCATACCCCCAAGCTCGAGTTTGCCTCAGCATGCAAGTTCCCCGTCGAGTCAACCGTCAGTGCCCTCGTCTGGAGATTACTACACAGTGAGCAACCGTCATAACGAAACTGGTGGCATTACGAAAGTCAAGCAAAACACAATTTTAAGTGACAACTATATCTTGAGCGCAGATGTCTTGCCCTCATCACAGCCGCGACTCAATCTACAAAAGTTAAAGATTCCACTGCCAACAGTACCCAACGAACCTACCCAATCAAGCTCGCCACTGATGTCCTGCGGATCTGACCAGTCGTCAAATACATCCTCCAGCGAAGCTCCAACTTCTGCATTGACTGAGTCCTCCAGCAACGCAGCAACGGCATGGTCTCATTTTGAGGGTAGAAGTAAGGCTTGTATGTACTTATCCTGTCCTGCCTAGATCCAACAGGCAGAATAACTTCAGGATGAGCGAGGGGTGGCTAGACCTTACATCAGTTTCTTCATACTGCGAGTCAATATTAGGTTGACAATCTTGTGTTGACAAAGCCGCAGCCCGCAAGAGAGGACGTAGTCTTGATGGCACAGAAGACCAACTGCTTTTGAAAAGGATGCGTCCCTTGACATCGCTCCAAACACGAAATTCGGCGACCACTTCAAACAACGAGCCACATCTCCCCACTTCTCACAAAAGTTCTCCTGGTAAATACAAACTTTTGATTCCCGGACTAAAGTTTACGGAAAGGTCATTGGCTGGTGCGGTGGTCAGCACACCCATTGAGCGCCTCACGGATGACTCGAATATTGAATCCAGCATCGCCATCCAGAGTCCAGAGCCTAGCATAATACCGCAGCCGACAACCCCTGTGAAGCTCTCGACATGGAAATGCACTTCTGCAACTCCAGAGCCCCCAGAAACCCCAAGCTTCGCAAGGACCCTGCACCTTTTTGACACGAGCGTGTCCATGTACAAGGATGGCAACGGCGATGAATGGATGCACGACATCTCTATTTTTAAATCCACGCATGGTGATGAATGGGTGCATAACTCGTTGTGCAAGCATTGCTTTTCCCGCAGTGGCAAGTTCAGTAGGATAATGACGTACGGTTATGAGACGTGCGGGCGTGAGGAATGTCTGGAGGATTATTACTGGGAGTCTGCGGTTAGTCCGAATTGCTAGATTATACGTATTGTGGAAATGAAGATTTTTTTGCCTGTCCACTGAATGTCAAGGATACCCTTTCGAGAAATGAGATTGGTTGTGCTACTCTGTGAACTACTAAAGTCTTTAGGTTGTGCGACACCGCCACCAGCAGATAGGCTAGCAACTTAATTTACCTACAGCGACTCATAACGTTTCAGTTGAAATCCAAAGGATAGAAACTGTCTGCAAGGCGATTATCCTATCCAATGTATTTTGGTAGAGTGATTTCCACATATTTTATTCTGCAACGTGTGGCCGCATTCTCTTTCGCATTCGCTTCTGTAACGTCGTCAGCTTCCTGACGTGGCATGTCCGCGAGGGGGTCCTTTCTTGGTCTTACGCTACCAATTACCTACAATGCTGTTGCAGGGCTACCCCTGATCTTTTATTTTTCGACTTCTTGCCCCACCTTCTGTATACACATCTTTGTGCGGTTGTCTACCCTCACAAGATGATATTATGGTATTTGAAGTAGGTAAAATACATGATTGCACATTCGAATAGATAGAAGAGACTGTCGGAGATGATGCTTCTGGAATTTTAAAGTGTCCTAGCTACCATATTCGAAATTCTCTGGACGCAATAAGATTAAATCCCAACACTTGGAAATGGTATTACCGTAGATCAAAGTACATCCGTCCTCTTTTTGTATCCAAACCCGCATCTTTACATAATGAATATCACTACCGACTATACCGTTTACTCCATACAGTTAGCACACAGTGACGCAACAAACGTCCATCGATCACTGCGGTCGCATTCGCATTTCTAGACTTCATACCCCGGTGTCTTTACGCATGACAGTTACTGCATCCAGTAGGTCTTTGTCGTACTACGTATTTTCCGTTGAATACTGCCCTCGCATTCTCATTCACACATACCTCCTAGCTCGTACATATGCGAGATGATTGCCGCAAAGGGCAATCCATGTCTTTTTGTCGTGGAACACTGTACTCGGGTTCTCTTTCACAGAAAGCCACTAGTCTGGGCGTAAGTACATGTATCTCTCTAGTCCCACGTGGGGTATCCCTACAGCCCAGAAAGCCCAGCTCGCTTCTGTATCATTGCATAAAAGATAAATACCGTATGCGGTAGTGTGTATATCGTCCTGCCCATTTACTGTCGATTACTGCGCTCGCATTCTCTTTCACGGATACCCGCTAATCTATGCTCAAACACTTCTAATCCACGTGCGTAGTATATCCCTACAATTCAGCACGTCCATTTCGCTCTGACACTGTTATCTTACACGTCACAACTGCCACATGCGGTAGTCTTTGCATTCTCACACATTCTCCCGTTGATTGCTGCACTCGCATTCTCTTTTACGCAACAGCCACTAGCTGGTGCCTGTATCTTGCTATTCCACGTGCTTATCTCTACAGTCTAAACCTTTGATTAGCTTTCGCAGAGATCTACATGCGATGACTACCGCATATGGCAGTCCTTCATCTGTCTACGTATATCCATCGATTACTGCTTCGCATTCTCATTTACGCACAGTCGCTAGTCGGTGTTTGTATCTCTCTACTCCACGTGGGTCTATCCCTCCATGTTAGCACGTGCATTCCGTTTTCCAACAGATGTACATGAAGGAAACTACCGCAAAGGGCAGTCTTTCATCTCCCTACACATTTCCGTCGAATACTGTCTCGCATTCTCTTTCCGGAAAACTACTAGCCTCGTCATATCTACCCACCGCCTCAGCACGCCCATTCGCTTTCGTACGCATCATCTGCGAGAAGAGTTGCCGCAAAGGGTATTCCTTCGTCTCCCCTACATCCATCCATCGATCACTGTCTCGCATTCTCATTCACTCACCCACTAAGCTCACCCATACACACCTCCACTTCCCTTGCCAAGTCCTCCTTCATCTCCACCCTGCCATCCCACGCTAGGTACACCCTCGCACTCGCGACCCTCCCGTCACAACCGCCTCCCTCCTCTACCGCGATCTCCCCCCAGCCACACTTTCCCCATGCGGCATCTTTCCCTGATCCCAACATTCACCCATCGATTCCAGTCCTCGTATTCGCATCATTAGTGTACCGTCTTACTTGTGGCCCAAATACCGCATCGAGTAAATTTGGAAACCAGATAAGGTACATGTCGATCTTCTACTAACCCCAAAAGTGTACCCATCGATTCCTGAGCTATCGATCTGGCGTCATTTCTACTGAAAGATCTACCTAACTCTATGACTTACCCCCCCCCCCCACCACCAAAGTGCATATATACATGTTACGCGAGGAAAAGTTTTGTCCGCATAACTCGTTTTTTTCTTTCTCGGAGCTGTGGGTGAAGTGCTCCCAGGATGTGTTGGGGGAGCTCCCCACCATTCCGCATTTAGGAAACTGGCACACTACACGAGTTTCCCAAGGCAAGCAGAATTAGGTTAGTCGCATTCTGCTTCGCATTCGGTCTCTCCACACCTCTCTTTCTCCTCTCTTTCGGCATCTCCCGCGCATGGATGACTCCATACATGGCTGTTAATACCAAAGTAGCGGTAAGCAACTCGCCATTCGTCGCTGGACTGTGCTTTCTTCTTTTGCCCTCTTTTCTTCGCATTCTTATTCGCATCTGTTTGTTTCGTGTGCAGGGTTGGATAAGCTTAGGGCTTTAGTCTTTTGAACCCTAGATTTTTGCCACGTGGCCGGGCCAAGGCTGTGGGAATAACAAGGTCCGGGAATGAAACGAAAACACAGTTGCTAGCTAAAAGTCTGTGTGTATCTGGTGGTTGGTGATTAAGGAAAAAGCAAAAATGGAAAGGGGGGATTGGATTGGATCGGCTGCGTCTTTGGTAAACTTTACAAGTGTGCGCCCCACGTGGGAGCGGTGGGTCTCTCGCCCAGGTCGAAGCAGGAAATACTTAGTTGGCGAACGAGGCGCTTTTTTTCTTGGCTACGGGAGATAAGGATAAAGAAAGAAAAAAGGAATAATGATGAAGATCATAAAGTTCCGATCGGGTCCGCTTTCTGACTCATATTTTCTACTCTCCTTACACCTCCTGCCAAGTCGGACATTCGTCCGGGAGTTCTATGTAGATCTTAGAACGTTTGTCTCGACCCAGACACCCAATCCACCACGGGACTTGCCGTTCTAGAATTATAATAACCGGGTCGCGCCAAAGCCAAGACTGCGGACTTTGTCGTGTTAACATCAGCTGTACACCAACAAACGCAAACGGACGAAAACGATTTGGAATCTCTTTTCGACAAGCGACAAAAACCCGGCATAATTTCACATGGGGGAAAAGCCTCTCACTTGCAAAGAGTCATGGCAATGGAAGAGTGGACATGCAGATAAAGAGGCTACAAGTATAAACCGGAAAAACCCATTTTTATAATCAAAAAAAGGAGCGAACAATAAAAACACCACGTATGGGTATCAACAAAATATACTAATGGAATCATGAAATGCCCGCCCAGCCTCATCGCCGCCGCTACGGAACGCCACACAGGGCTGATCCCGAACGAAACTTAACAGAGATGTTTACCACCCAAAAGCGCCGGCTACCTTGGATGAATCGCTTCCCCTTCCCTTGGTACATGCGATACGCTACATACTCGAACGCTCAGCGCGTATGTATTTCCGTAAAATTCATGTCATCTAAGCACACCTATTGTCCTACAAAGGCCCTGATGGCTGGGCGTGCTGTTGTTGGCGATTTGCCTCAGTCTTGGACTGTAGGTGATTCGTCAGCACGGCAATGTTGTCCCGCGCTTCTGGCACAGTTTCAACAATATGCCTCAGGTTGATCATTTGCAATTCTGAGACGACTGCATTCTGTGACAGGTTTGACGTGAGGATGGTGACAATGACAGGTGCGTCAATGTAGGGACCGAGAATCTCGAGGGCTTTCGGGATCTGGTGATGTGGTGGTGTGTGCATTGGCAGCGGGGGTTGTGGGTTGGGCACCATGTTTGCCTGTGGTGGTGCGAATGGGTTGCCGTACTGCGGGTAGGCTGCGCTGACCGGTGAGAATTGCGGCGCGTGAGGATTGGTCATCGGTGATGGACTGGGGCCGGTGCCAAAGGCGGGCTGCGCAATTGGGCCAGTTGCGGCCTCATGAGCCGGGTATCGCTCAAAATGTTCAGTTGGCGGATGTTGGGGCTTGAGCTCTGGTAGCTTGGCTACAAGAGCCAATAACAGCATGTTTTCCTTGCGGGGTGTCTCAATGGTGCAGTACTCCAGCATGTCGATAAAGGGAGGAAGGTTGCTTCCGCCCTCCTCAATTGGGATCACATATAGATCTCGAAGTATGTCGTTGCCTTCGACAGGTACCACACCCCACCTGCCGCGCGAGTGAAAGTATTCGTAGAGATGGTCCATGACTGTGCGTCCTTCAGTGGTGACAGGGCTAACGGCGAGAATAGAAACTTCGTGGCTCTCTGTGTGTCCAATGCTCTGAATATAGTCGTTTCCCTTAGAGCTCTCGATACGTCCTTGGATCGCCACGATATGGGTCAGAAGCTTTTCCCAGGGTACAACTTGGCCAAAGTCGCCGCCTGCGACGAATCGGGCAACAGCATCAAACGGTTCCATAGACTGCATGTTGATGGAGCCATGCCAGCAGACTGTTGGATCAGAGGAATAACCCGACATTTCCACGTCGTTGTCTTCGTCCTTGAGCAGTCGGTCAACATCTGCATCGTCCACAGCGCTCTGAGGCTTGTCTTGTGTGTGCATGGAGCTGCGGCGACGGTGAAGGAAGGTTTGCTGGTCGTGCTGGGGTGAGCGGACTTTGTCGAAGACGGAATTGATATCAAAATTGGTCGATGCTCGTCGCAAGCCGTCGTGTTGAGGTGTTTCCGCCTCAGACGTTCTTGGCGCGGCAGGACTCTCGGATGGGGGTACGGCCACGGGGGAATGTACCGCTCCATCTTCCGTGACACTATCCCGCTCCCGTTGAGTGGGCTCCTTGAAGTCATCATTCTCAAAGTTGTCTTCACCGACAATCTCCTCGCCTTTGTGTGTCTTGCGCAGCCGAGGCCCAGTCTCTTCGGTCAGAATCATTTGCTTCTCAGCCGCTTCTCGCATGGCCGCGTATTCGCGTTGTTTGTCTTCGCTCGCCATTTCCTCAGCTTCCATGCTCACGAGGTCCTCGGCCTTGAGGCTTCCTGACAGCAGACGATCCACAAGAACGGTGTTCTTCTTAACATTGAACATGATTGTGCGCATCTTGCCAAAGTATGGCGAGGACCCGCCGGTAGGCTCGCCATACAGGTTGAAAGCAGCATGGCACATTTGAAGGGTATACTTGGAAGCAAGAGACTTGGCAGTCTCGCCGTCTGGGATGCGGTATCCCTGGGTGTCCGAGGCAGAAGTGATCAGGGGTGCCAGGGTTTCGCATAGCTTCTCCGCAACAGCCTTCTGGTTCTGGGGAAGGGCGTCAATGTCCGTGGCCAATGCATCTTGCGGCTCCGTCTTGGCTTCATGATGGCTCGACTTTCTGCGCTTCTTGCTTGCGTTGGCCTTTTCTGAGGCCGCGTCATGGCGGCGTTTTTCGCCGAGAGGAGACTGCGGCTGACTCTTGATGCCCTGCTTGCGTTTGTGAGTGAAGGTCATAATAATGGGGTTAAGCGGGCATACCTTTGGTTCGGCATGGCCGTTGGAAGCTTCTGGGGTGGGCACTGTGATGGGAGCAGGAGTGGGAGTAGTGGCTTCAACAGGAGCTGCGGGAGGCTGTGAAGGCGTAGACTGTTGGGGCGTCACTGTCTTCTCAGATGGGGCATCCGGCTTGACGTCGCTGGCGCGAGGCTTGGGTTTGGAGCCCTTCTTGCGCGCCCATGGCCTCTCGCCACGAGCCATGGCAGCCAATAACTCGACGTGGTCTTCGGGTTTGCATTGCTCGCAGTAGTAGTCCTTACCCTCCCAGAAATCGCCCTCGGGTAGGCCCAGGCACTTGTTGTGTTGCCAGGCTGTACAGCTGTCGCAACAGATCATCTGTCGTCCGCGAATATCGCGCTGGTCACCGCACACACAGCGGATGATGGCGTCCTCCTCTTCTTCATCGTCGTCCTCTTCATCCGCATCGGCCGATTGCGTCGACCGAGCACGCTGAGAGGGACCCTTTGCATTTCCTTTTTTGCTATGGGCTTGTCCTTTCTTCTCAGTCGCTGGAGTTGCTTTGGACTTTGGGGCGGCGACAGGAGCAGCAGCAGGAGTAGTGGGAGCAGCTGGGGCGGCAGCAGCGGGCTCGTCGAGCGCGTCTTGGTTCTTTGTATGGTGGCCTTTGTTGGCGCGGCCGGAGCGCCTGATTTCATCTGTGGCAGCGGTATCAGTATCAGCATCGGCATGAGCATTGGTATGAGCGTGCAGCTCAGAGGCTGTTGTGCACGCGCGTGCGGTGTGCGGGGTGCGCGACGAGGAGCTGGTACGGGCGCGTGTAGATGGTGTCTGCTTACCGGACATGGTGGTGGACACGGGTGATGGGCTTCAAAGAATAGACGATACCACGAATGCAGCTTATGCTATGTGCGCAACAAGATTCAAAGAAAAAGTCTCTACGGAAGCCCCAATCCTGCCCTGCGCGTGGCGTGGCGGGCCAGCGGACACGCCGTACGAGCCGGCTACTAACTAGTCAAAGAGAGAGCAACAGGTATCCCGTCTGCTTGTACAGACTGGAGCCGCGATGCGAGACGAGCCTGCCGAATATGAGTCGCAGCTTTCTCGTGCGCGTGTCTCCCGTGGGATGGAGCCAACGGCGCACCAGCAACCGGCGTGACAGAGACGACAATGGCGGATGGGAAGATGCCCCTGACGTATGCGCTTGTATGCGAGCGCAGTATGAGGCAGCAGGAGATGGTGAATGGATTGCCGGACAGAGGCGCGGTGTGTCGTGTGGTGTCGGGATGGGTGGTGTCAGTGAGGAGACAGTGGAGTGGAGCTTGGACGCTGCGTTTTGCCGATGTCTTGGCTGCCGTAATCCCAGCCACTAGTAACGACCTGGACCCTTTGCGTGGCTGGACAAGCTGGACAAGCTGAACAAGCTGTTTTGTTGAAGCGCGACAGGACTGTGCCAAACCACGTCGATTGACAGCAATCCGACTGCATCATCTCCCACTGTAGAATCTGCAGCCATTCCCGCCAAATAATGGCCGACGCCCGAACCCTCTTGCGACAACAACGTGCAGCACGTCAGCAGGCCCAGAAGCCCCAGAAACAGTCTCCGGGACCAGCAGCAGCACCAACAACGAAGAAGCGGAAGGCTCCTGATCAGGGCGGAGAGGAGAAGAAGCGTTCGCGAACCGAGGAGGAGGCGGGCGTTCCGGCCGGATTCTTCGATGCGGGCGCGACAAACGACGACGGCGACGACGACGGCGACAACGACCAAGTCGCGCCTGGCCCTGTAGAAGAGAGCCCAGTAGTGGCAGAAATCCCAGCCCCAGAGCCTCCGGCACCCGTAGACCCGCCGCTCGACGCTGCAGCACAAGCAGAACTCGATGCCTTCATGACCGAGATGAGCACAGAGAAGCCGATCCCACAGTCAGCCAAGTCCGCCTATTCAGGTGCCGTCATAGAAGCAGCACCCATGACGGCCGCTCGGCTCGCCGCCCAAGTAAGAGAAGAACAGAATGCACAACGCGCCAAGAGGGACGAAGAAATGGAAGGAGAGAAGGAAGATGCTGCGCGGGCTCTCGAGGACGAGTTTGAAGAGATGGAAGGACTAGAGGAGAGGGTCAAGAGGCTACGGGAGCAGAGAGAGGCGCTGCGGTCGGTGTCTGGACGGGCAGGCGACGTACCAAACCAGGAGCCCACAGCCCCTCAAAATGAAGAAGACGAAGAAAGCGATTCGGAGGATGAGGACTGGGACGACTGGCGGTTCCGCCCCGCCTAAGCATCGTTGCTGCATGTAGTCAGCAAAGTAAAGTAATTAGCGGTCAGCGCATGTATTATAGTATAGCATACCACATTGGCGATACCCGGGGCAGGCGTTTACAAGCACTAATCCAATGACTTCTTCCTAGCAGGGCAGCCCCTGTTATGACCAATCCACCCATGATTCGACATGTGGATCGCCCGGCAACCAATTGCTGCTCAAAATGTGGCACCCATAGGCAGAGCGTATAAAAGTAATTCTGGTCACATAGGAGGGGTGGTGGCATGCTATGCCAAGCCGAGCGTCATTGTTAGGGCACACCAAACGCTTCAGGCACGAATGAAACAGCCCAATCCCCACTCAACCACCCTCCTCGACATTGACACGTGCACTCGCGAGAAACTGCTTTTCTTCCACCCTACCGCGCGCCGACTCTACGATTCCGCAATACGCACCTAGTCTCCGCACACAACCACCTACCCCACAATGTCACGACGGCCCAACCCTGCCGCCGACCGGGCGGAGCAGAATCGCGCCACACTGAAGAACTTGGTAAAGCTCGAAGGCAACAAGACATGCTCAGACTGCAAGCGGAACAAGCGTAAGACTCGTGTGCCATTGTGGCCTGCGCCCGCTAACACTTTTGCAGACCCACGATGGGCAAGCTGGAATCTAGGCGTCTTCATATGCATTCGATGTTCGGGCATACACCGTGGCATGGGAACGCATATCAGCAGGGTTAAGTCGGTTGACCTTGATACCTGGACTGACGAACAACTCGAGAGTGTATTGAAATGGGGAAATGCGCGAGCCAACAAATACTGGGAGTCGAAATTGGCACCTGGCCACGTTCCATCCGAAGCGAAGATTGAGAACTTTATCCGTACAAAGTATGAATCGAAGCGCTGGGTCATGGATGGGCCTATGCCGGATCCTTCCACTCTGGACAGTGACGATGATGATGTGGTTAGTATGAGCAAGCCGCCTTGAAGTCAAGGACTAACAGCAACCCTAGCCATTGAGTAAGGTGCAGGAGAAGGTACAAATAGAACGCTCAGCCTCGCAACGCCTGGCACAAGGCTCCGGCCGTGCCCCGCCTCCTCAGCGGCAAGCACAACAGCAGCCTGTTATCGACCTGTTTGGAGATGATCCAGTTCCCGAGCGACCAAGCACTGGACCGCCAGCTGCTGCACGACCGCCCCCAAAGGCAGAACCAGCGCCCCCGAAACAGCATAAAGCAGGAGACTCATTGCTAGGCCTTGACTTTCTCGGCGGAGGATCCTCTACTGCACCCGCTCGCCCATCCAGCACAGGTCCTGCTGCTGCGGCAGCGCCCTCAAGACCAGACCTCAAGCAGTCAATCCTGTCTCTGTATGCTGCAAAGCCCGCAGCGGCGCCTCAGCCACAACAGCATGCTCGTCAAGACTCTTTCAGTGGACTCGTATCATCCCAGGCGCAGGCCTCACCACAGCAGTCATCGTTTGGCGGTATGAACGATGCATTCAGCAGCTTGTCCTTCAACGCTGCTCCCGCACCCAAGCCTTCACCATTTTCTGGTCTGGATAGCTTCTCAAGCAAAAAATCACCGCCCGCGTCGTCGTCGTCTTCCTCCAACATGTTTGGCGGCGGCGGAAACTTTTTTGACTCAAAGCCTGCTCCACAGAGTCGTACCATGAGCCCTGCTGGAGGAGCAAGCAACTTCAGTGCCTTTTCTTCGCCCGCGGCATCCAAGCCTGCAGCCCCGGCAGCATCTGGTATGGCCGACCTCCTCGATCTCTCCATGCCTTCCGCGCCTGCACCACAAGTCACCTCTCCGCCAGTAGCATCGCCGTCTGCTAACTCGGCATTCAACCTCTCTTCACCAGCACCTGCTCCTGCTACAAAGTCTACGCCCGCTGCACCAGCAGTAAACTATTCAGGGTTCTCAAACATGGATGCCTGGGGTGGCAATGACGTCTGGGGATCGTCCGCGCCTAGCCAGCCTGCAGCAACCACTACCACTGCCACTGCCCAGGCAACAACGACTAGCTGGAGCGCACCTAAAGTGACGCAAGATGACGATTTTGGTGGTTGGAGCAGTGCTGCGCCCACTACAACCTCTAACACTACCACCACCCAAAGTAAGCCTGCAGGAGGATTTGGTGGCACGAGCGATGATTTGTTCTCCAATGTTTGGGAATGAGTTGTCATATACTGAGGGCTTTGTGCGAGCTATTACAGTCGTAATTTGGAAATCAATGCCGAATCGAGAGCGTGGTATGCATGGTATACATAATTGCTTATAGAAATCTTTTGAACTTGTATATCAGAAAAAAAGATGAAATGCTCCAATCGCTTTCCCTTGCAGCCATGAACGCCGCATATGCAAGGGGTTGACTGGCATGTCCCATGTCCCCATCCCAATACTAAAAAATCAATACACGTGATGAATCATGCTTCCCTTTGCGCTCGCCCTTGTCTCGACTCCCCTTTTCTATGCTCAACCCAGTTCCGCAGTCGTGTGCAGCGAAATGCATAATTACTCCCAACCGGCCATTCACACCGGCCCATCCTATCGTCTCAGACTTTGTGTATGGATGTATAAGAATACCATATCCACCCTCCTCCTCTTCAAACCCCCGGCCGTCCCTTCGCCTCCTCCCCTTACACAACCATCTTTACTTTGTTCGCAGCCGTATTCGCATTCCGTTCAGAAGATCAAATGGAAAATCCAATATAAAACGATAAACGCCGCAACAATCATACCGCTTAGCTTGAATATCGCGACTTTATTCCCCGACGCCGCCATGCGCGTCAGTCGAGTTGCTGAGCCTTTGAGGGATGTGGCCATGTTGGAGAAGGTTTCGTTCTGTACATTGCACATGTTAGTAATTATTCACATGATTAGGCGGGAGGGAGTAGTAAGAATGGGGAGGAGGCAAGGGAGGAGACGTACAGTGTTGTCGAGAACATGCTGGTCGCGTGCGCTGTCGTATATATCGACTGTTACGCCGCGCAGTGCAGAGACTTTGGATGCGAGTTCATCGAGGCGTGAGTCGTTTTGTTGTTCGCGTTCGTAGGCCGACATTTTGGGGCTTGTGGGACGGGGGGTGGTTGTGTGCTGGCTAGGTCGGGCTGGGTCGGGCTCAAAGTGGTGTTGGGCGTTCTCGAGGGTTTCGCTGAGTTCTTGTAGTGGCGTGTGGAAGGCGGAGTCGAGGCTTTGTTTCAGGCAGACTTGTAGGGAGGGTGAGTCTCGCAGGGGGATGTGGTTTGGATTGGGGGTTTAACCACAGGACTGGATGCATGAATGAACCAAGATGTGACGTTCGGTGCCAAGAAGGACCCTGGATGATTGGGGTTTAGCGTGCCGTGTGGAGGTCTTTGGCGTTCCCCGCTTGAGGGTTTGAGAGTGAGGGGCAGGTAAATTTAGATGCGCGCATCTACAGGGACTATTTATGCGCGGTAGCTTAGGACGAGTGGCCAGGTTCAGCAAGGATTGTGTAGATGTGAGGTACTTTGGGGGGGAAAAAAGGCGGCTCGAATCAGTTTGTTATAAGTCGAGGTGCGATGCGTTACGTCCTGAGCATAATTGCTAATTTTGCAGCGCAAAAGCTGTGGAAAACAAGAAATAGCATACACGAGGCAATATCTCAAAAACAATAATCACCATTGCTAGGGGCAACTGTACATGCTTGAAGCTACTAAAAGATCATGATAATCATTTTACAATGACGCTAATCTACTTCTTGTATCTTCAGTCACATTCGACATGAGCTACATAGTGATCGTATACTCTTGTTGGTAGGCACATTATGATTACATGCTAAAACTAAGCATACAAAAAAGGAGCAAAAAAATCAAAAACATACGACAGCGGGGATTCGCCAGTGGTCACCCACCTGACTACTAATCCGCCGGTAAACTGCTTATATATGCCAGATCGGACGGGATGGCTAGCTCTAAGTTTCCGATGGTCGTATGTACCATGCTCTCAAAACTGACGTTACTAATTTCGTGTGTAAATTGATTGTCTGGTTCATGGAGTACTGGGGAACAACAGACTCCGCCAATGCCACTTCTCACACCACCATATACACAGATACACTGTGACTACATACACATATGTATTATTCTCTAGATTCTCAGCTCATTAAACCCTTAGCAAAAAGCAGTGTTATCAAGGCCGACACAGGGATGTCCCGGTATACATGTCTGCAAATCATCAGCATACTGCATCACCACTGCATAGAATCAGCTTACACTGTTGCAAGGGTACCATGTTTTGCCATCGGCGCAACATCCGTTCGTCTCTGGGCAATAGCTGAAAATGTAGTTCGGATCCGTGCCTTCGGGCAGCTCGGCATGGTCGTTTCTGAATTTCTCAGATCTCTTATAGCATTCCTAAAGTTCATGTGATTAGCTTTTGGAAAAGCGCCCAGAGGCGATGGCAGTTACCCAGCCGGAGCCGCCAGCGAATACACTGGCGACGAAGAGGAGGAAGATTGCTTGGATCTCCATGGTGATGATGCTTGAGGATCAATTAATATTCAGCTAATCGAATTCCGAGTTGTACACAAAGATAATCACGGAGATAGACCTTGGGTAGACCATTTCTTATTATATCTACAAAAGTCTAGTGAATCTTACCCCTACTAAGTGACTTCGGTCCCATTACAAACCATTAGATAATTCATTCATTCAGGCTTGCCAGAGTCTCTTTGATATCTATAAACCTAATTCCTGATTTGTATTCCTCTTTTCTGGATACAGTTTACAGGGATTATGGTATCACACGGCCTGAGAGGATTTTCAACATTCTGGTGCTCTCAAAAGTGTCCAAAACAATCAGAGACGCGATAACTTCTCATCGCCTGAGTGCGTGTTTTTTCTCCATGTTCGACTCCATCTAAAAAACAACAAGCCCACGACTTTGTACCTAACAGTACAAGGTACATCCATAAAACCGTATAGCGTCGGAGTTCTCGGATATACGCTGCTGACTTCTGTAATATAAAATTCGTATTGTGCTTGCTGCGCCTCTAGCTCACCGCTGTTTTTTATGCGCGTACTTCGCTCTGGTATTGCCATTTTCCCCTTAGCAACACGGTCTAGGAGCTATGTATGGTTGAGAGTGGTCCAGGTATACCGTATCCGGTCTTTTCACGTAAGATGAAACATCCTGTACTCTATAGTCAACGGTAAATGCACGGCTCGGCTCAATATCTGGAACGGCATAAGCAAATTACCCAGCGCGTTGCCTGATAGGATACACATTGTCAAATGCGAGGGTTTTTACAATGACCTATTTCCTCGACCTATTCACGTATGACCTGGAGGGCCAAGCTTCCAAAACACGTACATATCAAACCACGGATGGTCTCAGGATCCTGATTCCCAGGCTCCAATGGTCATATGTGCCATAAATATCGGAATCTCAGCTTATGATAATTAACGATCTTGAAGGGTTTCATGTTACACTTCATGACACGATCTTTCCGTTGGCGATAAAGAGATGGTACGTGTAGGCTACGCTGTTCTTGGTGTTCGATGCGACATGTGCTCGACTGCTTGTGCGCTTTCGTACGGTCAGTAGGTATAGCACGGTTTGATGTTACAATTCGAATTTTAAGGTTTCAAAACAGCAGAAATAGCACGGCCGATGGAGCTCAGATGGTTTAATGTCGTAGATGCTTGGACAGCTATGTTCTGGCTGTCATGGTTAATGTTGTTCTTTTCGTCGGAGCTTGTTGATTTCCTAGTCCAGTAAGACATTTAGAGGATTGCAGGATCATTAGAACAGATAAATGTATCTGGCGTTATCTCACCGAGCATTTCGAGTGGGTTGACCGATATCCTTTCGCGGCTAGTTAATCGGAGCTGTGGAGCACTCGGCCGTCGGTACTCTTTCTCAATTGAACGACATCTCTCAAAGATTATGCTGCAACCACCATGGTAGCTTATCACGCCGAAAACAAGGAAATATAGGTTCCGAACACATCATCTCGAGTAATGGTTGCTCTCACGTAGCGGGAAGGTGAGGGGACAGCAAGCGGATCGAAGTCCCCTCTGGGATTAGCGCACGACGTCACGTTCTCGATATCATCCATCAGCCGGCAAGCGACAACAAGGATCTTCACTTGTCAAGGTCCTTTTGGGTAAGACTTCACAAAATACAGGTCTGTGCCCGGCCCAGCCGAACTCAAGGCGAGAGCTAAGCAGAGCCAAGGGAGCCACCCCGCACTCTGCATACAACGTTACAGTGCGGGACGGCTTAGAGTCTCCGCTTCCTTCCCACGATAGGTACCATTTGCTAGGTATCATTCGACAGATAGCCTATCATTCGGTGCCGAGACGGCTTCTTGTTCTTCAATTTTCCGGCCGTGACGAGATACGTGCAGGAAGACGGAGAGAGTTGACCCGCACCCTATGTGGTACTATGGCGCCTTTTCGCCGAACGTACAAAAGACGCGATACCGACAATAGATGTACCATTGCACTCCAAAGTTTTCAACATAGTCGACGGTAGCGCCACTCTTTGATCTGGCCTCTTGGATGAACGAACCTTGCAGCTTGGTTCTCCATCAACGCCGTCCCGATTGTTCAAGATGTTGAGCTCATCTGGGACGCTGTACAACACGTACAGATTCATCCTGCTCGGCTTCTTGTTTTCGCTTTGTTTCGATACAACATCTGCACATGTTGTCAAGAAACCGCGTGCGGCTTCAACGGGCCGTGTGCGCTCGTCTCTCAACGCAGATTGGCGTTTCTCACGTTTCACGTCCAATCCCGATGGCCTGAGCTACGAGACTCTGAAGCCATGGATTATGCCTGCTGCAAACGACTTCATTGTTGGAGATAAATACCAGCGCCCTTCTGGCGCTGCACCTGGCTCTAACACCAGCTATGTGCAGTCGAGCTTCGACGATGCAAGCTGGGAAGCAGTCACTCTACCGCACGACTGGGCCATTACCGGAACATTTGACGCTCCTGGCGTCACTGGCGACCTAGGATTTCTGCCAATCAACGGAATTGGATGGTACCGAAGATCAGTTTCAATTGATGCTGAGATTATTGATTCAGGAAAGTCCATCTTCCTGGATGTCGAAGGGGCCATGGCCTACGCTGCGGTGTGGTTGAATGGCCAGCTTGTGGGAGGATGGCCTTTTGGCTACAATTCCTTCCGTCTGGACCTTACGCCCTACGCCAATGCTGGAGCAAACACCCTTGCTATTCGCTTGGACAATAAGCTGGATTCATCCCGTTGGTACCCCGGTGCTGGAATTTACCGAGATGTTTGGCTGGTCACCGTGGATCCTGTACACGTTGCGCAATGGGGAACCTACATCACCACTCCTAGCATTTCAAAAGCCGAGGCAATGGTTGATATTGTCGTTGAAGTCGAGAACAAGGCCAACAGCAGCCAGAGTGTCGAGGTGACTACTGAGATCTACGAGCGCGACTCTACATCCAAGGCAGCCAAGGGCAATTGTGTTGCGACTTTTCCAACGGCAAACACCGATGTGGCAGGGAACTCGAAGCAAACTGTAAAAGGTTCAGTTTCTGTGGCAAACCCTAAGCTTTGGGGACCTGCACCGACTCAGAAACCCAACGAATATGTTGCCGTTACCACTGTATCAATTGACGGAACAGCGGTGGACACCTACGAAACTGTTTTTGGTATCCGGTCTATCGCATACGATCCAAATCAAGGTCTTCTGATCAACGGTGAGCGCATCTACGTGCAGGGGTCCTGCAACCACCACGATCTTGGGTCGCTAGGCGCTGCCTTCAACGTACGTGCTGCGGAGCGCCAGATTGAGATTCTTATGGAGATGGGCAACAATGCTCTCCGGACTTCGCATAACCCGCCAGCGCCCGGGTATCTGGATCTTGCTGACCGAATGGGCCTACTAGTCATGGACGAGATTTTTGATACCTGGAATTACGCCAAGGTAGAAAACGACTTTCATCGCATTTTCCAAGAATGGCATGAGCCCGACCTTCGTTCATTCATCCGTCGCGATCGGAACCATCCTTCTATTATCTCTTGGTCTGTTGGCAATGAACTTCGGGAACAATCCAACGCTACTGGCACTGCAACCGTCAAGATGCTTCAAGATATTGCTCATGAGGAAGACCCTACTCGAAAAGTTACCATTGGTATGAACAATGCCAATGCAAGCACTGGAGTTGCTGCAACCATCGACATTATCGGTCTAAACTACCAGGGAGAAGGCAAAGGTGTCTCTTGGCGAAGCTCATTCCCCGATTTCAAGAACGCATTTCCCGAGAAGATGATTTGGAGTACCGAGTCTGCTTCTACTATCAGTTCTCGTGGCAAGTACCTGTTCCCTGTCACTTCCAACAAGAGCGCAGTAATCGGCGGAGGGCCTGGCGAAGGCGGAGATCCTGTGACGAATCAGATTAGTTCTTACGATCTCTACGCACCGGAATGGGCCGCATCCCCAGACAAAGTCTTCCAAATGCAAGACATGCACCCTTATGTTGCAGGAGAGTTCGTCTGGACTGGATGGGATTACATTGGTGAGCCCACGCCATATGCCAATGTAAGCCGTAGCTCCTATTTTGGTATCATCGATCTCGCAGGTTTCAAGAAGGACCGCTTCTATCTCTACCAATCCCGCTGGAGGTCTGATCTTCCCATGGCACATATTCTGCCTCACTGGACCTGGCCAGAGGACCGTACTGGCGAGACCACCCCTGTGCACGTATACAGCTCTGGTGATGCAGCCGAACTCTTCGTAAACGGTGTTTCTGCTGGTCGCAAGGAAAAGGCAGAATACGAATACCGCTTCCGTTGGGATGATATCAAGTACAGTCCTGGCAACGTCACCGTAGTAACTTACAAGGATGGTGCAGAATGGGCAACCGCATCACAAGTTACAGCGGGATCTGCCGCCTCGCTCAACATCACTGCAGACCGTTCTACCATCACTGGTGACGGCTACGACCTTTCTTTCGTCTCTGTGGCCGTACATGATAGCCAGGGTACTCTCGTTCCGACGGCCGACCACGCAATCAGCTTCAAGGTCACATCCGGCCCTGGTATCATTGTTAGCACGGATAACGGCGACCCAACAGATCTGGTGCCGTTCCCAAAGACGACAAGGAAAGCTTTCGGCGGTTTGGCGCTGGCTATTGTAAGGAGTGAGGCTGGTGCAACCGGAGAGATTGTGGTTGAAGCCACGGCGGAGGGCCTGGAGGGCGGCAGTGTGACTATTACTGCTGCCTGACTCTTAGAAAAGGAAGATTTCCAATTGGGATGCTGCGATGTTCAGTCTGTCATAGTGTAATTTATCATGAAAAGGAAATCAAAACACTGTTTGTGAAGATGAGAAAGAAAGCGAGCAAAACAATGCGTGATATACATAGATGTTTAACGGAGTTTTTCCATGTGAATGAATCATTGAAATGAAAAGTTTTGAATGTAGTGAGGCTTTTCTTAAGTAGGATATAAGATACTTTTGACTCTGTTTTACATTGAGAATGTATTCACGCATATCAAGAGGACGGTTAGAAGTGAGCGTATGTAAAACAGTTTGCTTGGAATCGGTATCTGAAGCAATCACGCTCAAAAACTTTGTAGATTTTAAATACCTTCTCAATCCTACCCTTTGTTCTGTTCGTGTCTGTGTATCAACCTTGCCAGAACATTTCGTTGTTACTGGAAGACAAATATGTTTATATATCAACAATGACCGATATCATCAAAAAGCTGGGAAATACTCCTTGTATGTTTCTCGTATATAGCTGTCTGATTCCGTTTTCGGCTCTCGAGGTTACTGCACATCAGTAAGCCCACATCGACTCGCCCTCGTTACTGGAGCCTTTGTACGTCGCCATCTACCACTGTCATGCTCTTGTTTACACAGAACCATCTGATCTCACTTTAAGCGACTTTGGAGTGAATCTTCAGGTTGCCATGGCACCATAGCAGGTTTCACTGTTTCTGTTGTGTATATAAACAGCGCCGCCCACCTCACTCTGCTCACCACCACATCTTGGTCCCATTTCGTAAGAACATCCTCATCCCCTCTATTCATTGATGAGACACTAACAGTAAACAGAGATACATTCACAATGTCTTCTGTAGCAACCCGCAAAGTTGTCAACTCTCTTTCTCCTGCATTCCGCGTCCCCGACATGCGCGGTACTGCAAAGCAGGCTAGTGTCGCTGTCAAGCCGATCAGGCTGCCTTACAAGCAGCTCCATCGATCAACTAAGTCAACCACAAAGCCAAGAACGACGTTGGCTGCGTCGAGGCAGAACTTGCCGGCAGTCAACGGGTTGACGTCAAGGACAAGACCGAGCGCTTCGGCGACTCGTGTACCCCAACTCCACGCACGATCCAGAGCTGACTACAAACAGAATGGTGCCGGTGCGTTTTCGAAGACCAAGATCCCAAGACCCACAGTTGTGGCGTCGAAGGAACCTTGGGTCCGACAGAGCATGGAGTTTTGGGGCAGATCAGTGAGTGTCGTTCATACCCCCAAGGCCAAGTTGACTTCACCCCCTGCAGATCAAGTAGCAGTCGCGCAAGACTGTGAAGACAAGACCACAGAGCAAGGCCCTATCGAGGTCGACTCTGAACTCCTGCAGCTTGTCGAACGGAACGAAGCCGAGGACGCGGGAATCGACGATTCCTCACTGCTCTTCAACGACAAGAGCTTCGACGAGTCTGTTGGTGCCGATCAACAGACTACCACCCTCAACCTCATCGGACGCGAGCTCGTCAGCATGAAGCGACTCGGACTGGGACTCAGAATCCACCGATCGCCATGGTTTGTGGGACTCGCCCACTGCCCGCAGTACACGGGCGAAGGTGTCAGCATGCCACGCGTGCGCCCAAGGAAGGAGTCGGTTGTGGAGGAGCAAGGACAAGGTAAGTAAATTGATCTTGATTCATGTAAGATATCGTGACTAACAACATGTAGATCGACGCACCACTACCGCTCCGTCGAACCCGCCAAAGGATGGTGTCAAGACAACACCAACACCATTCCGACCAGCTACCAAGGGGACAACACGAGGCAATGTAGCCAAAGTCACCAAACCCGCTTCTTCGGCACCAGCCAAGAGCGACAAGGCGGCTATGATCACGAAGCCTCAAGGGCAGGGAAAGCGTCAACCTCCGACAACCACCACGCCTCTCGCCCATCGCCAGAAGGCTGTTCCGAAGCCAAAGGCTGCTGGCAACCTCAAGACCCGTCCTATCGCTGGACGAATCCTCGGTACCAAGAAGTCAGCGACTACCAGTACCGACAAGAAGTCACTGGGTCGTGGACCCCACGCAGGAAAGCCCGCTCTCAAGCCAACTGCGTGCCTATCCAGTCCCGCCACGGTCAAGAAGCAGGTCTGTTTCGTCTCAGGACCTATCAAGCCACGCTTCTTCTCCGCCAAGGATACCGTCAAGCAGTCCGCATCTCCCGATGCCCTGCCATCACGGTACGAATGGGCACCTCTCGTCGGTCTGCTGCACTCTCGACCTACCTCGGTAGGTTTCAAGACATCGCAGATCTTCCAAAGCGACAAGGCGGGTATCCTGACGCTCAGGAACCGCTTCCTCGCTCGTTTCGCCAGCGTCCAGGCGTACGAGGTAAAGCGTCGCGAGGAGGCTCTTGCCAGGGGTGAGCAGCCGGGTCTGGGTCAGCTCGACTACGGCAATGCTGTTATCAGGATTGCCCTGCAAGCGAAGGGGGTCGTCGAAGCGGACCACATTGGGATCCTCCAGGACCTGAGTGGTGTTGGAAGGTGTGGACTCGTGGCTACGGGTCGCCGACGGATGGCCAATCCTGTTTGGGTCTTTGGATCGTTCCAGGAGCCGTGGAGCCCTACGACTATTCCGACCAGGCGGGTTGCGGCTTATAAGAAGCCGGTCTTCTAGTCGGTTGCTGGATCCGAGGACGAGTTAAGGTTCAAGTATTCAAAGCAAGAGTGATAGGAGGATGCAAGTTACGTTGCTCAACAAACATGATTGTTTCTCATCCACTAACGTTGAAGCAGGACGACATCAGCAACACACACCAGGATGAGTGGTGAAAAGAGTCACGTTCTCGACACGCATGACTATTCAGTAAGCTTTCTTTTCCCTTTTACTGCTGAGCTGTACCACAGGATCGATCAAAACAAAGCCGGGGCGTCCTTTTCGACAGGGCGGGGCGAGTGGTGGGACCCCGCACATCCGAACAACTCTTTTTCGTCATACCATCGACAATCGACCGTTTACCATATACCGAGGGGGAAGTCTAGAGTTGGAGATGGAAGGACATGAAGGATAGACGAGGTAGAATTCTAGTTATCTTGGGCCGAAGAGGGACCTGCGCTAAATGCAAGTCTTGACCGGGTTGAGCAGCAAGTCCACTGGGGTGTTCGGGGAATCCGAATCTTTTGGGCCCTAGTATCCGTGGACCATACTCTGGGGATTCTGGGGTTTGGCCATGCGTCATACTCAGCCTATCATCCATAGCAATCCGATCAATGCGAACTCCTTCAGTCTGCCTTGTTAGGTGTACTTTCCATCTCCCCGCTCTTGCGCATGCATCGCCACAAATCAAGTTTTCTTTTCCCTTCCAACACACAAGCCCACGTGTTCTGCTGTGAGCCTCACCCAATCTCCGTGCCTTTTTGTGGCGGTCCGGTATCCAGGTACAAGAAGCAAAGGACGGGAGGACTGCATGTGCTCTGCTTCGCACGTGTTGCTGTGATTGGCAGACTGTTATCACGGCTGGCTCAGCATTAGACTGGAAGAGGCAGTTGCCGAGCCCTGTGCACGGCCACACCAAGATGTGCCAAGAAAGAGGTGTTGTGAAGTCAGCGGAGACGTCCGGGGAACATATAGTTATATAATAGCCTAGCTGAAGAAAAAAAAGGTTTCTGTTCTTCGTGCTCGCGCCCTCTCTTTCGTTTCCACAGTCAATTGTTTCGAGCCGAGTTGGCGAGGATGAAGTTCACTACCGCACCAGGCGCCTCTCTGGTTGCCCTCTCGGCCTTGTCTACACTTGCTCAGGCAGAGGATGTTTTGTACAGTAAGCGCATGGTGAAGCGTGGTCTTGATCAGGACGGAAACTACAACATCTGTAAGCACCAAAGCATACCTTGATCTACACACCTACTCACGTGACACAGCATTCTTCCACATCAATGACGTGCACGCCCATCTGGACGAGTTCAGCTCTTCAGGAACCGACTGCACCAGGCCCGAGCGAGGATGCTACGGAGGCTATGCCCGCGTCAAGCATGTGATTGAGGAGCAGCGTCCCAATGTCGAAGATAGCCTTTGGCTCAACGCCGGTGATGAATTCCAAGGTACCCTGTTTTACAGCTACTATGGTGGCGAGAAGATTGCCGAGGTGCTCAACGAGCTCGAATTCGACGCTATGACGCTTGGAAATCACGAGTTTGACGGTGGAGATGCTGAGCTGGGGGAGTTCCTTGTCAATCTCACGTTCCCCGTTGTCAGCGCCAATGTGCATTCACAAGATCCAAACGTCAACAAGACGGTCAAGCCCTGGACTATCTTTGAGGAGTATGATTTGGCAGTCATTGGAGTCACAGCACAAGAAACCGCCAGCTTGAGTAATGCTGATCCAACAACTGTCTTTTCTGATGTTGTCGAGGTAGGTTTCTACAATCTACAGCAATATCAAATGGCCAAAGACTAACAACCAAAACAGGCCGTCCAAGGTGCCATCGACCAAATCAAGAGCACCACCAATATCACCAGAATCGCAGCTCTCACCCACATCGGCTACGACAAGGACCAAGAACTCGCCAAAGCCACCACCGGCCTCCACCTCATCATCGGCGGCCACAGCCACACGCTCCTCGGTGACATGGAAAAGGCCGAAGGCAAGTACCCCACCATCGTCGACAACAAAGACGGCGACGAAGTCTTCATCGTAACCTCCTACCGCTGGGGCGAATACGTCGGCTACATCGACGTAACCTACGACCCCTCTGGCAAAATCCTCGCCTACCACGGCGCTCCCATCCACCTCACCAACACCACCGCTCAAGACTCCGCTCTGCAATCCGAAATCGAAGCCTGGCGCGGCCCCTTTGAAGAATTCGCCGCCCAAGTCCTCGGCACCACAAACGTCGAACTCGACCAGACAACCTGCCAGCGCCAAGAATGCCTCCTCGGAGACTTCATGGCAGACGCCATGCTATCGTACCGCAAAAACAACACCGACGACGTCGACTTTGCCCTCATCAACGCTGGCGGCATCCGCGC